CAAATCAATCACCCGCCTTTCTGACATTGAAAGACTCTTCTGCATGTCCCGGTGTCGACATTTCAGGAGACACCGGAGCAGGCGCTTGGGATTGTCCTCTCGAGCACCTCCATTATTGCACTGGCTATCGAAGAAAGGTTTGAGATTTGGACTGCCGTCTTTGAAAGACATTTCATCTTTAGTAAGAGATAAAATATGCTAATGAATTGTCGACAAAGAGCTGCTTCAATTTTTCCGGTCCATTTTTGGCCTCGTACCTTGGCTGAACACACGCCTCGCTGCTTAATAGCAAGTCAGTAACTGCTCATTTCAGTAGCGTCGCTTCCTAATTCGCAGACACCACATTATGGAAAGAGCAAAGTCTTCTCATCCACTCAGTCTGTTTACATCCCCATTCATAATCCCTTTCTCTTCTCCCAATCCAATTCTTTTCTCTTCATCACCAACATCATCATCACATTCAGCTGGCTTTATTACTTGATTACTTTTGCTCTATCAATTTTGGTTAAATTGAAACTTGATCATTCTTCCCGCGTTATCATTTGAAGATCGTTATTGAAACTTCCTAATTTCATCTATCATGCATTTTGAGTCTCTTGCTGTGGCGGCTCTGAGCCTTGTTGTTACGGCTGTTGCTCAACGTCAGGCAGGCACTAGCATTTGTGATTATTACACTGCTGCTTTGTTTAAGGACAATACTTCTTACAATCAAAAGAAATTATTAGTCCATGTGGTCAACAGGGCTCTCATTGGTAATATTGGTAAGTCCCCATGTGAATTCGTGCAATGTTCTTCACTCATCAATCTCTTGCAGGAGATCAATCAGCCTCTAGTGTCAATGTCCCTGGTATCCTTACCAATGGAACTTACAATGGTATCAAAGTCAGTCTGTTGCCATACTTCAACGGTGGACTCGTCTCTACCAATGGAGGGAATAAACCATTATCTGTCAACTTTCTTGATGGTGGAGGAGCAGAAAGTCTTCGTAATTACCAGCCTGCCAATTCCGATACAACCAATCAATAGTGAGCTTCCTGATAAATGATACGAAACATTACTAACCATAATAGTTCACTTATGACCCATCTCTACCAGTATTTTGGTGTATTACTTTCATGTTCCAAACAAGGTGGTGCTGATTTCCCGAGATATTCTGGTTCTGCATCTCAGTATAATGTTCATAAGTATGTCAACTTGATCACAATATTCTCATCTTTTGCACCCGAGTTTATGACATCAACCATGGCAAATTTCTGACAACATTGAACAGATTCATGGATCTTTCTGATGCTGAAGTCAATTACTTCATCGAACAAGTTGCGTTATCCGCTGCATCCTTTGGTGTTTCTGACTCGGATCTTATGACCATCGGCTACTCACTCCAAGAATCATTTGGATACCGTTGCCTGCCACCAACGACTATTGTTCCCAAACAAGGACGACAGTTGCAATCAATTTGTACCGATAATACATGTCCTCTGGCGCCAAACAATACTTGTGACTATTACGATCAAACGGTCGCCAAGCCTAGTTTATCTTCTGGCAGATCACCCGGCACTGGTTCGAGCACTGGTACTAGGACTAATACCAGTACAGCCACCAGAACTGGCAATACTACCATCTCAGGTACTAGAATTGGTACCATTATCAACGGCACAAATTCGCCATTGAGTTCCGCATCTACTACCGTTACTAATGTCACAAATCCATCCTTAGGTCTTGGATCTGCAACAATAGCCAATGGTGTAAATCCACCCTCAGGTCCTGGGTCCGTAAATAATGTTAGTAGTACTGTGGCTGCTGCCAAACCAACTCAAGTCACAGCAGGTGCTGCCTCTATTGGTTTGAGTTTTGCTGCCATTGCTGGTGGTCTTGCAGCATACTTCTTGTAGACGTCTATGCATACAATCAAAGAGATGGGATTATGCACATGCATGCATGACTGTCGTTGCCGGTAACGGGTGGAAATAGGCCTCATTCTGCATCTCGTTTTGCGGCTTGTGGTAAATGGGGTTCTCTATATCTTTGTAATGCTTAGGTAGTTTCATGGTGTCATCAATTATCATTTTTTACTTGATTCGAAGTTGGTGAGCATGGGCTCTTCATTTTCGCAAACTGCTTTTTCCGAGGTATGAGTTTTAAACGGGAAGATAGAAAAGAAGAAAAGGACGCGGAAGGGAAAGTAATGGTGTCTATTTGTTGGTTTGCTGGATCAGTATATTCCTAATCTGGCTTGCTATTATTCTTGTCGTTCGTCTCACATTCAAAGAAAGGAAAGGGTTTACAGAATAATTTTATTTTGATATTGCTTCCTCTCAGAAGCTTGGAACTTTGTATTTGTTGATTGTGATTACAAGTGAGAGATCATTCTGTAAGAGGAGGTAGGTAGGTATAAGGTAAAGAAGTAGATTTCGAGTGCGCTATGGGGAGGGTGTGAGAGGTGTGAGAGTTTGAGAGTTGTGAGAGTTGTGAGAGTTGTGAGAGTTGTGAGAGTGTGAGAGTTGTGAGAGTTGTGAGAGTTGTGAGAGTTGTGAGAGTTGTGAGAGTTGTGAGAGTGTGAGAGTTGTGAGAGTTGTGAGAGTTGTGAGAGTTGTGAGAGTTGTGAGAGTTGTGAGAGTTGTGAGAGTTGTGAGAGTTGTGAGAGTTTGTGAGAGTTGTGATGTTTGGGATGTTTGGGAGGTTAGGGAGGTTGGGATATTTCTGAGATGGGAAAGTTATGGTTTGAGTGAGAGTTGAGAGGGGAGAGATGGTGTACCTAGGTACCTAGTAGCTTTTACCCCAGATTTTCTCAGTTGAAATGAATTGGCGCGAATTTCGTGAGGCTACCCTCTACATAAGCGAAAAAACAGGCGGAAATTGAGTACTCTTTTAAAGATCTTTTTAATAGATTATAAATTCATTTCAAATTGAATATTGAAATTTGAAAAAAGTAAATGAAATTTGAGTCTTTTTTGTATTGATATAAGTGTTTTAATTATTTAATATTATATCGAGAAGAGATCTTAGTTGTTGATGTTCTTTTGAATGGTGATCAAATTCCGGCTTGGTGGCCTGTTTTTTGCTTACGTAGAGCCACCCTTATCAGAAGAACGCTTCACGTGATCTGAGTACATCTCCTCATCCATGTGATTTCCTCAACCACTTCAAACCTCACTCATAGCTCATCAATCAAAGCCACCTTTCGATTGTGATAATTCGCGATTATTTGTAGATATTATATATTTTCGATATCGCTACCATCTGACCATGGAACGAAAAAATTCAGAAGCTGGCCCTTCAAACAATCCTTTGAAAATCCCCGTTGCATCATTTCGTGTGTATTGCCATTCGTTGTGTACAGATGTTCCCCTACTAAGAAGAAGAAACAATAGCTACACATAATTCACCTCGGGTTTGGTTCTTGACTTCCGCTTTATCTCCATTGTCTGTTCGGTTAATTAGGCTTCTCCTCAAACATGGCGATTATGTAGCTGCTGGGCTACCGCCGAGTGAAATCGAGGATGATGAGCGATGTGTAGAGTTCAAGGAACTCATTAATGATTGCAATAGTAGTAAAAAGCAGTGTGAGGGTTGGAAAGATAGGATTCGAGGGATTAGGGTTGATGGAAGGTTATTAAATATTCCGTTGTCGTAACGTGGGATGAGTTTATGCTGAATTATTGATAGGGCCAAATCACAATGTTTGGCAGCTATTGCCGAGGCCATCAAAGTATTCGGTCGTATAGATATTTTGTTGTGTTCTTCATCAGAAGGTATTTTGTGATGAAGTATTCATTTCGAGGCTATGCTGATACGCGTGTAGCTGTTGTTGGTACGGTGGAAGAACTTTCGACAAATCCAGCTACTCAAAGTCTCGTTCGTGATCAATTCGAAGCCATCTACTTCAGTCAGATCAATTTTATCAAATCCGCTCTCCCTCATCTTCGACAGAAAGGCGATGGTCATATCCTGATTCTTACTGGTATTACGGGACACATAGGCACACCGGGAATGTCCATGTATTGTGCTGCGACATGGGCTTTGGAAGGATTTTGTGATGCTCTGACATATGAGATTGCTCCATTCAATATAAAATTGACCATCGTTCAACCGAATAAAGAAATCCCCCTACTCACAAACAAAATTACTTTCGCTCCACAATTACCACAGTATGAACCTCAGAATAATCCGGCTCCACAGTTGAGGGAAGTTTTAACGCACGTGTTAAATTCACATCCGGATACGCGGATGGAACCACAAACTGGGAAAAGTACCATTGAGTCGAGATTTCCTAATCTACCTAGCGAATCGAGAGATAAGTTGGTCATGGAAACTGTTCATGCTTTGACGGCGATAGGAGGTCACGAGAATCCGCCAGCAAGACATATTGTCGGGTATGAAGGGATAGCATCTGTTAAAGAAAAACTCAAGACCGTTAGTGAAGAAATGGAAGATTTTGTAGAAGTTAGTTGTGCGGTGGATATCTACACTAAGAGTGCAGTTAATCAGGCGGCGTTGGCGGAAATCAGATCTCAGCGGAAACGTAGTGGTAGTCAGGACTCGAATGCTGGAGGATCGATTCCGGTTTTGTTTTGATACGGATAAGAAATCTTTTGGAAATTAAAATTATTTACACGGATAGGGAGGAATGTGAGGAGAACCTCAAGGTGGAACTCAAGGTGGAACTCAAGGTCGGGTTTGGAAAAGTACATACATATATACAGTTGGATTACATACTAACTAGTGTTTTTTAGAGTGAAAATTGATATCACAAGTTCTTCAAAAGGCTTATAATTTCATTGTAAGTTGATGGTCACGTTCATTGCTGGGTCATAGATTACCAAAATACATAGATAGATATTTTTTTATTTTTATTTTTTTTTAGAAAAAAGGGGCGCTTGGAGGTTTTCAATACATAGGAGAAGACTGACTTACCTGAGTCCGTCGGAAAGAAAAGAAGAAAGCTACAAAAGAAATACTCGGATCAACTGCCCTCTTCTCGCTCTCTCGCTCTCATCCACCTACTCCGAAGTCTTCCTCTTCTTATCGTTCTTCTCCGCCTCCACCTGATCCTTCAACTCCTGCAACTTCTTCTTCTTCTCCTCGATCTCCACGAGCAGCCTCTCCGCCTCCGCCTCCATCACCTGGATCTGAACCGCCTCGTCGTTCTGAGTTTGAGCGTCGAGTGCCTCGTTTCGTCGTCTCCGAGCACGGACTGCCTGGAGCTCCTCGTTTCGTCGTCTCTGCGATTGGATATCGTTGAGTCCGGTCTGGATTTGGAAGTCGATGAGTCGTTGTCTTTGATATTCGGCTGCGTAGACGGTACGTCTTCGTCTTTGGGCTTCGAGCGCCTCGAGTATCTCGTTTCGTAGTCGTTGGAATTCGATCGCCTCGAGTTCCTCGTTTCGTCGTCTGCGAGAACGGACGGCCTGGAGCTCCTCGTTTCGTCGTCTCTGCGATTGGATATCGTTGAGTCCGGTCTGGATTTGGAAGTCGATGAGTCGTTGTCTTTGATATTCGTTCGAGTTGATGTTACGCTGATGGGGGCTGAGGCGGAAACGTCTGGCTTGGAAGGGGAAGGGGAAGGGAGAGGGAGAGGGAGAGGGAGAGGGAGAGGGAGAAGAGAGGGAATTCGAGCGAATTCTTGGGGGAGGAACGATGGTTGGTCTGCTGATGCTGCTATCGAAACTTCGTCTTCGCGATGCGAGACGCTCGTTTTGAGAGGGGTTCGGCATGTTGAAGTTGTTAGTTTGGGTTTGGATTTTGCTGGTTGATTTACTCTTGGCTTTCTGGCTTGGATTTCGGGGAGAAGTCTAAGATGGAAAGTTGGTTGTGAGTGAGTAAGTAAGTAGATAGCAAGTGCCTGGAGAAAAATGGGATACATGGGATGGGAGAGAGAATTTATATTGCTGATTATGATGTTGTTTTGATGTTGTTTTGATACTGTGCTGTGCTGTGCTGTGAAAAACAATGCTTTCATTTTCAGTTTTTGTTAATCTTGTTCTGTTCTATCCTGTTCTGTCCTTGTTTTTGCTGTTGCGGCTGCTATTTTCATTTTTTGGTATCAACACCTCTGTATTATTGTCACGATTATAATCATTCTTCATTATTAAAATTAAAATTAAAAATTGAATTACAAGAAGCTGGCTAGTACTAGGTATCTACCTACCTACCCGCAATTCACAAGATATAATATCCTTCAATCACATGATCGATATCCCGATATTGTTTACGTACCTACGTAACTACCTGTTCTTTGTTGTTGGGAATGAAAGTGGGAGGGAGAGGGGGAGGGAGGATGGTTAGATTAGATTGGATTGGATTGCTGAGTAGTGATTAAGCATCAGATAGGTACTAGATCGTTGGAATAAAGCATTGTTCTGTGTTGTGGTGGAATAAAGGAAGGATGAAGAGTAAAGGATAAAGAATAAAGGATAAGGAATAAAGGGATTGGTGGATGGAAAGGGAGGAGGGGGGAGTGGGATTTATGTTGGATCAGATTGGATTAAGTTGGAGAATTGTGCTATAATTGATAATGGTAGTTGATAGTGGGTAGATGATGATTCATGTAAAATATGAAGTGTGAAGTATGCTATAACGAAAATCCGGGGATGTGAGATCTTAGATTTGATCAGTGAGAGAAATATACGTCGTATAGTAGTGAGTACCTAGATTGTAAAAGGAAGTAGTAGTGATAAGTAGCGAGTAGACTTTCGGGATAACAGATAATATTATATCTCAGTACCGTGACGACTGCGGGTATGTTTCATATACCTTTCTATTTCTAGACTACCAAACCTATCAGATGGATAATCTTCCCTAGGGAGATAGGTGGAAAGATGTGGGTGTGGGTGAGCGAGAAGGGAATGTACGAGTAGTGGAATGATATATCTATGTATTTATTTATCTACTGTAAAAGTTACTCGTGATCTCCTGGTGTATTTGTACTCGAGTCGGTATTAGATATTTTGGATAATGGGTTTTTTGTAGTAAGGTAGATCACCAGATGATGAAGAGTGTGTGTGTATGGATACTACTGAAATAGCTAATTCGTCACGTTTTGTTGTCTGTAGGGTGGGGTGGGATAGGGTGGAAACTGATTACTGATGGGTTTGGGTTTGGGTTTTGGAGTGTGTGTATGAGATGATAAAATTTAGAGATAATGATGAGGAGGAGAAGAGTATGTAGTATATGTATGTTTTTCTATCTTTATACTACTGTGAGAGTAATGGAATGTGATGGTTGTCGAAATCGTGGGAAGAGTTGAAAATCATGAAAAGAGAAGAAATGAATGTCGGGATCATTATGGAGATAACTATGTATATGTCACATTCCACTTCATCCTTTCGGTAATTGACGTAACCTGGAAGGGCTTTCTTATTTCTTATTCGGTATTAATATTGTACATCAGATTTGGGAAGTCGAACAATATGATGATTCAGATGGACGAAAACGACTAGTGAGAGATATCAAGGATGGAAAATATAGAGATCTTGTCTGAGGGTCAATCGAGAAGATGCATTAAGGTTGATATGTTGCAGAGGAACGAAATCCGCAGTGTTATGGGATTATTTGATTTATTGGCTAGATTACGGAGAAAGTGGCGAACTGGAAGTGAGGATGTGAGCACTTCGGTGCTTCGAACAATCTTGTTTGATTTTTTATGAGTCTGAAGTTTGATGAAACCATTCAAAATTGCAGGATACAAAGCACGTCGGCATCAAATAGCCGGACCACAAAACGAGTTTCAAATAACACCAGGACAGCCGCGTGACTATTTCCCCTATCTGTTGGCTAAAAATGACCCAAATCTTTAGACATATCTTTGAAGTATCTCCAGACAAATAACGATAAGATTCATCAAAATCAGATCTATTATCTCAGTCTCGGCCCGTGATATGTACCCCAAAGCACGCAGTAGATTAATTCGCCACCTTTGCATTTCGCACCTTTTATTTCTTGATTCATTTTCCTTTATTCGTTCGAGAAGGAGGCTGTAGCATTCAGCTGAATCGGGAAGTGCTTTCTCAAGATATTCAGATAGGCTGTAGTGTACAAGTGATTTTGTCACGCCCCTCTCTTCTTGCCGAACAATAATTTTAACCGAAAGGTCAGCGCCATAATTAAGTAGCAATCTAAATATTTCAGTCCGAATCTTGCTACTAACATGAATTCCAAACTCAATTTGTTTCTCAAACCAGAGTTTTATAAATGCAGCCCATGTTCCGTTGATTAGGTTTTCCTCCATCTGAGACAGTGGATCAAGAGTCGTGTCTCGCATGGGGTCGAACGGCATCATATAAGGTTGATTCGGATCAGCTCCGGCTTCTAAAAGTACCTTGACCATTGTCACCCTATCATCTGCGTCATATGGATCGTCAAAACTTGAGACGGCATTTCGACTCAAGGCGATATGGAGGGGATAGCACCCGTCAAGGTTGTTTGCCAAAGTCGAGTTATCTTGGAGCTTCTGCCGAGCATATTCAATGATGCGGTGCCGCACGCACAAGGCCAGAATCCAGCCCCGTTTCCAGCGTCTTTGGTAACCCATCATCAATAAAATCTTGAAATCGTTGCTGCTGGACCGACAAGTCACGATTTGATCAACCTTTTCGATCAGTGCTGATAACGTTGTATTATAGCAAAGATCCTGCTTCTTGACATGACGTAAAAAGCTCGATATTATTGACCTTAGCTGATTATCACAATGACTAGGGTGTGCCGAGTGTAATGTAGTTTCTGCGGCCGGCGGGAAGACTTTTAATTGCATGATAAATGAGCGACACAGTGATAAATGGGGATTAAATGGATGTTTTGTCCACTCCAACAAAAGCTTTTGCATGGCAGGCCGCAGAAATAATTCCTCCACCGTTCTGTGCAGAAACATAGTAAAAACCTGAGGCAATGGTGAGCAGGTCCAGAAGCCAGTGAAATCCATGAAGTCACGACATCGAGCTACAACTCGTTTTCTTGTGATATATTGCTCTCTGTTGTAGTGATCTACTGGCCATGGGTTCAACTTTGCGAGTAATGCATAGTCAGGATTGTTCTTTTCCTCATCTAAAAATGCAAAGGTTATGACCGGCCACATTCCTTTGGTTGGAGAGGTTAGACACATTTGAATAATTTGTGATGTTTGGTGGCGATAACATTTCTCGATGGTATTGAGTATTTGATCAAAGACTTCTTCTAGCCCAGGTGGAATATCTTCCAATCTAGCTTCCAGTTCAGAAATTGTATCTTGATTTGTCAACCCTTTCAGTATCTCCCTGACAGCTAGGACAACCCAGAGAAAAACACCACTAGATTTGCTGGATATTTGCTCGATAAGATTCCAATAACATTTGTCTATTTTTATGATGCGAAAATCAGGATGGTTAGTGATTAAGTCACAAGTATAACGTTGAATGTCAGCTCGGGTAAAGTATTGTAAGGGCAGCGATTGGCCAGGAATTGGGTCAATGAACGTCTCGATTTCGATCCAAGGGCGACTCGAGACGATAAGTTTAACATCTGCGGATGTTGCAAATGCTTTCAAAAGGCGTGCAATCTCTGCCGGATCTCCCATGTACTCATCCACACCATCAATGAAGAAAACAAACCTGCCTGGCCATAACTGTTTCTTGGTAAGTTTTTCTAATGCGTCAAGAAGCTCATTTCGCGACCAAGAGCCATCCATATTGATACCTGAGTGGTGAGGCGATGCCCATCTATCTGGAAACAGTTTTGGCAATACCGAGGGACATTTTCCCAAGATGTCGTAAAGTAGAGATAGTAGAAGGCCTTTTTGAGATTTCTCCAATTCATTCCCAGCATACCAAAAGAAATAATTGCCCATGAAAAGAGGTTTTGTGCCAGCCCAATCCAGCAGCGCGGTTTTCACAATATCGTTGCCCACTAAGTACTTCATGAGTGTAGATTTGCCAGAACCAGCGTTTCCATTGATCCAATATATATCACTACCATCACGGAGCCATTGCAAAAATCCGGTCGTTTGAGGGTCAAATATCCAATCGAAGGTGCCGTTATGAGCTTCAACAACGTTGGAGATTCGTCGACCCATTCCTTCGTATTTGAATTTCTCAAGGACTGCTCGCACAGTAGCAAGTGTATTGCCGTTTCCGATATGATGGGATAGTTTGTTCCATAATACAGCCTTGGTCCGTTCATGATTGCGATTATCTTGAGACAGAGTAGATAAATCATCTCTTAACCCTGAAAGATAACCCATGATGTTTGATTCTGTGCGATCTTGGCTACGTTGTAATCCTATGAGTGCTATACTCATAGCAGAATGCTTATCACTAAAACGCAGTACATAGTTAGCTTTATTAAAATGCCCGACGGATATCGATCTGAAACGTGGAAGCGTACGCCAAAAAGGCTACAAGTCTAAGTACCAATTGATTTCGAAAACCATCCAGTCGTTTCGAGATCTCGGAAATGTAAGCTTCCTTCCACAAGCTTCGCATTGCTTGACGAGCACTTGCCCACTTCGTATGTGCTTTTTTGATATTCAACCCATCAAGGTCATGCAAAAGCTTGTCTGATAGTTCCTTGCATTGTGAAGCAAGACCAATAAGCGCTAGCTCGTCCTTGTTGTAGCTATGCTTCCCTTGGGCAGAGCTCCGTGCACTCAAATCACTGCCGATAGAACTGAGATCCGAGATAATCGTTGAGAGTTCGAGGTTTTTGGCCAAGGCTCCCTCGGAGGAGTGATGCAACTCGGTAGCAGTGGAGATGACCTTTGAAACAAAGTCCACAAACTGAAATATAGTCGCCGCGAGACTAAGGGCTAAGAGAGGATCAAGCATTTTGCAGGCGGGATCAAAAGTCTTTTTAAACAGGGTGATTGAGAATGGGAATACATAATTGAAGCCTGATCGATATTGTTTTATTATGATGGTGTGGCGACACAGCGAGCCGACCACTGCCTCAAAAGTTATCTTCGTGGATGTAACTAGCCGTGGTCGTCAGACCTTGGCAATGCATTGAGCCTACCATGGAAAACGTTTTGGGTACTGTTATCCAAGTGAAATTGGTGTTGAACGCTGAATTCATACATAATCAAGGCAAAATCCAAACGTGAGGGCGTAGAAACGAATGATTTCACATGGCACGTTTGCACAGCTGCTGACTGAACAGCAGACAATCCCAAACCCAGATAGTCAGTTAACACCACATGCAAATTCTAGTATCGAACTCTCGATAATGGGTGACTTTCAAAGATGTCTTGTTGTCCGACAACCGGTAGTGGTTACTAGGTATAATCTTCGTAGCAACAAAGGCCCGTGCATGTGAACGGTAGCCTTGCAGCAAGGCTGAATATCCCACATTCCACGTGGACGGGAGGATCATCGGCATACAAAGATAATCTGTTGAGCAGAAGCTCCATTGAATTTCAACGTTTACCAATATGAATTATGTCTACAACGCGCTTGACTTTTCTATATCCCACATTGTTTAGAGGAATTCGAGCTAGCGAACCCATTGCGCCTAGAGTGCGAATACAATCCAGACGAGCAAATCGAACACAACGACCAAGACAATTTGGCACAACCCACAACAGGAGGGATGTCTTTGTGCAGAGACATGGAAAAGCTGTAGAGCCTTTTTTGAAGGAAGGAGAAAATGAAAGCAATGTAAAGGTATTTGTGCCGGAGAAGGAAGTCGAGGTCGAGGAAGAGGAAGAAGAGGGTCCCAATCATGCAAAAGTGGGAAAAGAGTCAGAGAAAGCAAACAAAGCCAAAGACTATGCAGGGAAAGCAGAAAAGGGTCCTTCTTCTGCAGCACCTCTGTCGGAAGAGACGCAGGCTGCCTCAATTATAGCCGGTGATTCCGGAGTTACATCGAGATCTAAAATCACTCAAGGTCCGGATCCACTGACGCCCCGTCAACAAGCTGCTGCAAATACCGGTAAAATGGCGCCGCTGGAAACAGTATTACATATGCCACCACCTGAGTCTGCAGAAGCCCAAAACTCATCAAAACCACCGCATCTCCAAACTCCACCATATGTTCATCATTTCGACACATATGCTTTGGTACAGCAGGTTCAGGAAGGGGGCTTTACAAAGGATCAGAGTATTACTTCTATGAAGGCAGTGAGGGAATTACTAGCCATTAACTTGGATGTTGCCAAAGATGGTCTGGTTAGCAAGAGCGACGTAGAAAATGTTAGTAATATATTCACTGCTAGCCTTTACCTTTGCACAATTGCTGACAGTTAGTCCCATAGGAAATCTACCTCTTCCGTGCAGCATGTTCCGAGTTGAAATCCGAAATACAGAACAACCGCAAGGCGAGCGAAGAGAAGATGCGCAGAGAACGGACATTGCTACAACATGAAGTCGATATTCTCAATCAAAAGCTCACTCAGGAGTTGCTCACACTCAAAGATGATCTAAAAGGAATGTTTGACGATCGCAAAATGACTGTGCGACAAGAACAGCGAACAATGGAAACTGGAGTATGTAATTCTTGTATTTTCTCCTCCTCGCGGTTTCTAACAGCAAAATAGATCCAAGAACTTAACTACAAAATAACCGTCATGCTCAATAGTGACGCCAAATCGGAGATAGAAGGTCTCCGATGGGTACTCACTCGAAGATCAGTCATGGGAATATTGTTCATGGCATTCATGGTATTGACAAGCTTGAGATATGCAAGTTATAAAGCACATGAGCATGAGGAGAGAAGGAAAAAGGAAGCAGAAATACATGCGAAACATGATGAACACATTCAGGATTTACCCTCGCAAGGAGCGGCCGAGATTTTAGCTGCCAATTAGCGAGCTTTTGTTGAATTGAGCGGAATACGAGATACCACTTACACGTTGATGCGCTATTTTAGAGTTGATGAATACAATACCACACATCATTTCCTCGTTCCACTACATGACCACAATCATAATAATTCAACACTGGACAGTCTCTGGATATTCAGCCTGGAAAAAAGAAAAGATAAAGAAGTAACATGTCCAAGTCCAGTCATCTCATCATAGAACGAGAAGTTACTTACAAATCGAGGTGCTCCCTCGCATTTCGTATTCCAGTGAGCCTAATCAGGTGCGAATTCAGATGAATCGTGGTCATTTTGTTGGAAAGTTGAAAATGGTGTACTATTGTACAACTGTGGTTCAGATACTTTGATGATGCCTACGGCTATTGCCATGCGGCTGCTGAGAGTGGGTTTTCGAATGGTAATTCGAATGTGTGAATCGGCTTGTGCTGGTGTTGGATCGTGGTAGGGGCAACAGCCCCTACCCAAGGTGTAGATTGTTGTTGAATATGGCCCATAGTCGAATGGGACATGTCAGGTGGATTTTGCTGTGAATCCGTTAATTGAGATTTCGAAGTCGATTGTTGAGAAGTGGCGATGAGACGACTGGACCATGAGGACATGTTTTTTTGATGGGAGGAAGAGATATTCTAGATATATAAAGGCAACAAGCTTAGCGGTGAGAGTGAAAGTGAAAGGGTTATGAAGATAAAGAGGAAGCGAGGTTGTGTCCTTTGATTGCAGGTGAGCTTCATTCTTCACATTCTCTCCAAGCAAGCTTCAGTTTCAACTTCGGTTATATTTCCACACCACTCGATAAGGTTTGTTCATTGTTTATTGAGGGTAGCTCTTGCTATTTCTTCTATTCCATCATAAGTACATCATACATGAAACCCTCACTCAATACTCCCGTTTCTCCTTTAAAGTCTTTCACTTCAACAGATTTCACCGCCTTGATCGTCTTCCTAGCACCAAAATCATTGATATGTAAGATCTTGAAATCTCTTACGGACCATGAAAACGATATGCTTTACCCCAAAGACTCATAGTTATGGTATCTCTCCATGCACTGCTCTCATCCACGTGTTGCTCGTGCTTGTCAACCTCCTCATGGTATAGGATTTAGCCGCAAATTTTGTATGGCGGGTTCTATCTCAACAGCGAGGTCAGCATGGAACTACAATCAGTACTCATTAAGTAAGCTTGAAGTTCTGTCAGGAGAATGAAATGGTCATGGGATCACGCACGCAAGAACTGTCGTATGAATTGATGAACTTGCCGGTCTGAGTAGTTTCCAACAGGATTACTACTTCAATCGCATGGAATAAACACATTGCTACTCTGGGACTCTTCTATGATATGAACTCTTATCTTCTAGTTCGACTTGAATCATGGAAACGTTGCTCGAGTGTGTCAAAGGCTGAATGCGAGGTCTTCCAAGCACCAGAGCTCGGCTCTGCCCGTCTCGGATATTGCAGTGGACTATCCTCAAAGTGATTCGGCTCCGGGGCCGGATAAGAGACGATTCTAGTGGCAGGAAGTGGCATATATGACCAGCGTGGTATCTGAGACTTGGACGATTCAATTGTGATTTCTCGGTAGGATGTTTTTGATTGCTGATACACTGGTCTCGATTCTGAAGAACGATATGCAGAGTCTGGTGGGTTTTTTTTTGGATGTTGACGGGATTCTGGAATCTCGGCGTTCCGGTAATGGTTAGCATTTCTATTGCTTTGGTGGGGAGAAGGTTTTCTGGTGTAACGATCTCTTGAGCGATCTCTGTCGTCGTGGGAATGGGTAATTGGTTTTTGGTTATGGTCTGTTTTGTTTTTCAAGATGCCCTTTAAAGGTGTTGGCATCTTCATCCGATCATTGTGGTACTTCTTGGGCGCTGGTGGCGTTCGATTGATAGTTGAAGAGCTGCGGCGAGGCTCGTTTTGATATTCTGGTGATCTCGATGCAACTCTGGGTCTGTTGTAAAACTGGTACTCGTTGAGGACATTTTGTTCTACCGCTTCCTGCCGCGTTTCGCGTCTGGGGTTCCGATCATCATGATAACTAAATCCGCGATGTCCTTCAGAAGCTTGATATGTCTCTGGCCCCTGATTCCGACTTCGGGGTCTTCCTCCAATGAATAGCTCTCCCAATTTTAATGCCGTGGCATCTGAATCTGCTCTCACATCAAGGCTATACGAACGGCGCCTAGTAACTATACGGGCAACCGGAGTACTGGTGACATCCCCAGGAAATCGTTTGATAAGCTCACGCTCCAACCATTCTGTCTCTGAAGCATCTGCGATATCGTAATTATCCAAGATTTTCTTAATTGCGGGGACCGAATCACACCAGGCTGCTGCAGTTCCACCCAACAGAACATATATTGCCCATAAATAAACTTTAATTGGAATGGTACCACAGTTGCTAGAAGCGATGTCAAGCTTAATTCTCTCGAGCCATCTTGAAGCTGATTGGCCTTCACCATAAAACTTTCTTGCCTGTTCAAATTTAGGCAAACTATATGAGAAACTCATAGCTGAAGGAATATGCTGAAGAGTGAAGAGATTCCAAAACTACTTCATTAAAATGATTCGGTTTAGTCCGGAAGAAGAAAAATTATTGGGTGGATTTTAAGCATATGAGGTTGACGTTAAAAGACTTAAGTTGTTGTTTGAATTGACTGTGACACAAAAAATCATATCGTCAGCGATTATCTATGATCTTGAGCCTCATAAAAAGCGTCGCCGAGTAGAGAAGAGTTTCTTTCTTGATTGGGGTCACCACAAAGGTGTCAGAATTTCAAACACGATCTTAGCGCTTTTCAAAAAAAGATCAAGCCTTGTTTATTTTCGGATAACCAATCGGTTGATTCGACCTGCTAATAAGTATTGAAAGTAGAAACGTCGCAACTGACATTCCTCCTTCGCGTGTTATTCTCTTGCGTGGTCTCTATAACTGGAAAAGAGTGCATGTCCGTTACTGCTTCTAGGCGCTCAACTTCGAGAAGTGACTAACGAATGTTAGTTTTCAGTGCCAAATACTATGATATTGATGACTGACAGAATTTCATCCGAATAGGTGCAGTGCCTTCATTCCAATCACGCTACTGAGCGATGAACTGAATTCGAAAACCTTAAATGATAGGTAATCGATTTCAATTGCTTCAGGAAAAATGAGATATTGGAGGAGCTAATTTATGAGATAGATTTCATTGGTCCTTGAGCATTAGCGAGTGTGACCCAAGGAATCGCTCATGATACAAGCCAGAAAGAGCCAACCAGAATGGACGTGTGAGCTGACTGCATGGAGCATGAACCGACACATGAAGAAAGAAACGTCGGTGAAACGGTCACTTGATGCGAAAAGTTGTTCCTAAAGATGGCCTCCAGTTTCCCCAGGCATTGCACGAAAAAGTAAAAGTGTATATGAGTTTGGGAGCAATGACAAAGAGCTTAGGTCTAGATACTGTAATAATCACGTGATTGCACAGAAACCCGAGCCAAGGCACTAGGCTCGATGGAGTACTTTGTATTTCAAACAAGCAAACGCAGGATGCGGCTGACGTGCATTCTCGTATTTGAAATTTGGATCTCAGAATTCAAAATTCCAGGTACATTATTCCGTATGTTCGTCGGTGGTCAAAATCAATTAGGAAAAACATTGTCTCTGCTGACGCTAGCCCGTTGCAACACGAGCAGACTTGTATGCCAATTGAATGCGGACTTTGACCTTGTCTTATCTTGGAGATCACGAAAAGGCGAAATTTTTGGAATCAATTGCGGCGGATAAGACATATGAGCTCCAAATATGGCAGATGAACCCCAAGATGCATCCTTCGCATCATTTTGGCACCGATCTGTTGATAAGATCTCGTCCCAGAAGGTCAAATTTATGCCAAATATCACGAGACTTAAGACTTGTGAGTTGGCCTAACATTGTTCTCATTTTATAAGCTTTCTTTCCCCTCTTATATATGTCTACTTCAAGACTTTAAGCTGCTCGTTTCACAGGAGAGATTATGCGCTTGACACAACTACTCACTCAGCATGAGCTATTCCGAAATAACTACCTCATCGCTATCATTTTTCACGAAACTAATTGAATATGGCAGCCAAGGACGAGAATAGCGAAATAAAAGCTGGCACAGCTCAAAAACAACATAGACGAGCTCAAGTCAGACGAGCTCAAATGTTAATTTGCCCCCAGAGTGATTTTTTTTCACTACCCTTGCTGAATTCTTTCCTAGAGAACATCGACAGCGAAAACAGAACTATGTCAAACATCTTGAGGAAGATGTGATACGTCTTCGGGGGATGATTGCTACAACAGAAGACGAAAGTTTGGCTTTGATGAAAGAAAATAGAGCAATAGAATCGACGCTATCAGCTTCAGGTATCAAGGATGTGTCTAGTCTAAAATCGCGAATTAGAAAACTACCTGGCGACCAACCGATCAATTTGCTTCCTCCACAAGAATATGAACCACTCCGCGGTCTTGCCACCTCCGATGCAACCCAAGAGATAAGACCTACCATTAGAACTGTCGACTACGAGTCAGAAAATGATAGACTTTCCAGCTACATCAATGATATGCTCACTCAGGACAATGATCCACTCAATAATTATTTCTCCGATAATCATAATGTACCACATTCAAGTACTTCATCTGGTTCTCATATCAATATTCAATTCGATGAGTTTCTAAATGCATCCTGCCTTCATCTTAGCGAGTCATCCGACAGTTCCACTAAAGGATATGGGGCAATTGATCTTTCCAAACCTCTGCCGCCACTTCCCGGTCAAGCGTCGGTACCTTCAAATGCAGTACAGAAATCATCACCTGACATATCGGTTATGGCGATAAATTTTATTCTTGCGTAAGTCATTCTTCCTGTTCGATGACATGGTCATGTATTGATCTCATATCTACAGTCTCGAACACCCTTGTCGCACCCATTTTCACCATATACCAGATACTGCCCTCCCTTTTGATCCCGCCGGGGATCCATCCGGTCACGAGCTCATGGCCTCAACACATATCTTCGCTCAAGCACCGCTTGAAGCATTTAATGAATCAACTTCCGAAGTTTCGTGGTTTTCTTCTTCCGTTTCTTTGGCTCAGCTATATGCCATGTCGCAGTCACTACCTGTTTCAGACTTTGAGATTACTCCTGTTCAGGCATGGTTTATGATAGCCGAGAAATATCATAATGATATTGAGAGAATAGTCGGAACAAAAACTATGAATAATTTGAAGAGAAGCCTGGGTAGTCTATCTCGCTGTTACCAGTTTGGAGCTGTGATGGATGTTGACAGCTTTTGGGAGGTAGTGGATGACGTTATGATACAAAATGGGAGTTGATAATAAGACTAGGTAGGGTGTTAATTCAGTGGTTGTATTGGGTTCGAATAACTGATAAAATACTTCCCCCAAACACACATTTTCCAATCTGCTGTGAGTACCTATACAGCAAAAAATTGTGAACGTGGAGAAAAGAGCTTGGCGTGGGAGTTGAGATGACAGGTATTCATTGGCGGAGCCTGGAAGGGCTCGAGACCTCGATTCTGCATTGCATGTCCATTAAATTATGATGCGGCAATTTTTTGATTTCTCAGGGTTTCGTCAGGGCAGGCCAATTGCAATCAGTTTGAGTAATGAGATAAATCAGTTCAAATTCGTCATTTTCGTTTGAAATTCCAATTTTAGAATTGAAACCATGATATTTGCATTCAGGTGCGACTATTATCCAAACCGACCGCAATATTACTGTGCAAAACCAGCTGCAAGCAATTTTCCAAAAGTCACGATGCACATTTTCTTCATTCTTTATTCCGAAAACATTGCCACTCGCCTGTCCCTAGCGAACCACACTAAGCCACCCCTTTCATTCTTTATCCTCATGTCTCACTTGCACCCATCGAGCCACATTCTTCTATTCCTCAAAAAGGGCTTCCATTCCCGAGTTCTTCCCTCTACTTGTCTTATCAGGAAAGGAATCAACATCATCATTCCCAACCCACCTTCCACATTTTCCATCTCAAAATTCATTTCCATAATGGATAATAATCACGGTACTAATCGGCCTGGTACCGAAAACCAGGATATACATACGGGTCATGTATTGAAACCTAGTAAATTCCTCAGCGCATTGAGAATTTTGCAACTTCTTCTCGCGCTTGCAATAATAGGGTTGGCGGGTTTCGTGGTGACATTTATTGGGTATTCAGGGGCGATTCTGGATCTTTTCGTCGTATGTTTTCTTTCCCTCTGGTCTATCAATTCGCTCCTCTGATCCTGCGCGACACCACTAACAAAACTTCCCAATATAGGCCAGCGCAACAATCCTAATCATCTTCTACATCCTCCTCTCCACCCACCGTTTCACAAGCATCTACAACTACTGGGCCATCGCCTGTCTCGATATTTTCCTCGTCATTTTCTGGCTCGCTGCTTGGATTACTTCTGCCGTGCAGGTGCGTCGCTATCGTGGCCGATTCAACTACTACGGATGCGGATATTACTTTTGTAGACGCGATCTGTTGGAACTGGAAGAGCGAGATGATTTGAGCGCGGGATTGGAAAAGAGAGCTAGCACTAGCTATTCTACTTTTAGAGGGGTGTATATTGCGGCTACGGTGTTGGCTGCTATTGAATTGTGAGATCAACTCTTTTTATATCATTCTTCTTTGCCTTACGAGCAACTTTATCAGGATAGAGGGTGGAAGTGACAGACCCTTGCTAACACTACCCCAGCGTCCTCTTCATCATAACTTTTGCCGTTACCATGGGTAAAATCCTCTCTCATCACGACGAAGGTCATCACAGTGCGGCCTCCCACAACAAAAAACACACAGCGATGGAAATGCAAACTCCAGGGCAAACAGGCCATGTAGGACAAACGGGTCCTATGCAAACGGGTGCTGCAGGTCCAAATCCTGCGAATCCTGTTGCTCATCAGGGCGTGAATGAACCGGGGTATTCTGGAAATGCTGCTCAGAGGGTTTGAGTAGATAGAGGAGAGGATATGTGGAGAAAATGAGGCGATGGAACATATGAGTTGACTGAGCAATAATGTGGTAGAAAAGTGATATTTGTCGGGTTTTTTGTTTCGTTTGCTAGAAATTAGTGTTCTGGGTCGCGCAATCCAAATCCAAGCATCGTCGTTTTCTTAACCGATTGTAACACAATTGTGTGGTCAACGCCGTGAAATATCGATCGACTGAAAACTCATCTCCTTGTGGATTTTGAGATTACATTCAATCCTCAAACCTAAACCTAATCATCGTCGTCAAGATAGACGCAAAATGCTGCCTGTTGAGTTACCATGTCTTTTTCCAGCTCATTTAGGATTTTGCTGCTATGGTATTCGTTGCGTATTCTTTTTTTCTGCTGCATATTTTGGAATCAGTATAGGGTTAGTTTGTGGGCTAAGTGGTATATGATTGATCGGCTCCGAAGAATGAGGTACATCTGACGACAATCTTATTTAATCCTGCGAAAGATTGATCAGGTGGGGGCAAATGATGTGAAGTTGATATGGACAAAACGATTTTCGATGCCTGATTATTGATTATTGATTTATATTAGTTTTATTTCTCATACCGAGTCCCTAGCGAAACAAATTCTAAGTTTTCGGATAAACATGAGAAGACGGAAGATTCGCCTATACAATCTTCGCGAAATGATCGGCGAATGACTAAAGGCAAGCGGCGGTGACTAGCGGAGATAATTCCATGACTCGAATATCCTGTGACTATTTTATCGTAATATTCTTTTCTGTATTTGTGCAAAACAATGTCAACGCATCCCGGAGATAAGAAACACAATTTCGAAGTCCAAAAATATCCTTCTTAGTCTGAGATATGCTGGAAGAAGCTCTATTTCGCGTTGACTCTCCAAGGTGTTGACTATCTCAGAGCATCGTAAATCTAGCAACAAATTCTCGGAAACCCCAAATCTCATCTTGGGCTATATCGGCCAATCTCGCGCCAACAATAAAATGCAAAATGCATCGTCAGTAAATACTGCAGTCGATAAACTTGTGATTAATTTCTTCCCCTCATCATCATGTGAACACTTGTGCAAATCCCTATGCAGAAACATGAAGAGCGTTATCGTGGTGGCGGAAGTTATTGAGATCCCTTTAAATGCCGGGAAAGTTGTAGAGGTAGTGACTGGGCTACTTCAGTGAAGGTAATAATGATCGTGCTTGTGATGGGAATTGTTAACAACCTCCAATTATCAGTGACGATACAGGATAAAGGGTTGCCAGGGAGGCTTGAAACAAGTCCGCTTATCGCTTCCATCACCCATTGCCTGATTGTTTCTGCCAAATAGAGCTCTGCTAAACTTTGATAGCGGGCGTGATAGAACCCTGTATCATAACATGCTCAGAAGGTTGAGCTCTCCAATCACCGACCATAAACACTCGAGTCACTACAAGGTCCACAGCATCGTCATTTTCGAATGATTATTCCTAATTTTGTGATCCTATATGTGTCAAAAAATCTCAAGACTTTCACTGTCATTCTTCTGAAATGGTTTAAATTGGGATTCATGACCGACAAAACCTGTAATGACTCGAAAAATAACGGTTACATACCCCCCAACTACCTTGTTTGTGAAGACCATTTCTACCATGATACTTCCTTTGAGCAACTCGAAAGTACAATCCTGGGAATAACTTTACCTTTTAATATTACATCCAGAGAACCTTTAAAGCTTCATCGCTACGATCAATAACTTCCTTGGATCAAGGTGTGTGAAACCAAGTATACCTCCGAACAATTCTTTTGCCATGCTAATTAGACTGAAAGACAAAACAGATCTCTGAAAACTCAGGACCTCACAATGAGTTCTAACAGCAAACAGCCTTCTTCCAAACAAGCCATGACAACGGCATCTCAAACTACGGTCACTCGACAACCTGTGAGCAGAGTCCAAAATCTATCTCGTATTGTTGATATGCTAACGTACGTCGTTCTCTAGGCTCCCACACAGCAAATGGGTACCCAATCCAATAATGGAAACAGCACGGCTATATGCCTGGAGGCTTGTGCAGGCGCATGTTACCTCGCTCTATGCTGCCCTTTCCATGGTTGCGGTGGTGGTCCTACCGGCAATGATTGTGGTAGAACTTGCGGTGGCTGCAATGATGGCAGTGGTGATTGCAGTGGTGATTGCAGTGGTGATTGCTAGTCGTAGCCGATGGAAATGAGTTTGGGCACAAGTATTCAATACTTTGGCAAACTCTTAGATACACTGTACCTGTAGCAATATAAAATCATCGTTGTTTTTAAAAATGCGTGCTATCTTCTGTTGACTGTCAAAGATGTTTTTTGATATGTGTGATAGAGTTCGAAAGAAGAATCATCAGGTCTCAGCGCCCCTCTCGATGACATTCCAAACCTTGTCGGAGCTATCGTACGGCGGCAAGGGCGAGGGGGTCCAAAACTTAATCCCTTCCGAAATCTTTCCAATTTTAGGATCCCGAATAATTTAGACCCCTCCCTGGGAGAGCTGAACCAGCAAGTCTCAGGATGATTGCTCGACACTCACAACTAGGATTTGCGCTATTTAATAGAGGATTGGACCGTTACACTGTGTAGCACTACTCCACAATTAAGACGGCAGAAAATATACGAACAGGATCAACGCAACGTTAAGCAGTAACGATTGAGCGAGAAGATCGAGATCCGCAACTGGTTGCTAATAAGCTGTGGCGTAGTAGATAATGCGCGAAGCTTATGAAATGCACAAAGAGTCTGGACCTGACACTCAGATAAATGAAAAAACCGGGCAAGCTACTCGGTATCGCCAGCCTCGTTTGCAGGGGATAGAAGTTTGGTGAAACAACCAGAACGAGATGTTTGCTGACTCGTAGGTTGTGAGACTTACATGTGCGTGATGACTGTACTTTTGTACACCAGAAGCGCGCGGAGCATACCATGCAGGTACCAAAGAAGGAGGAGGTACATGATAGTACGATACCACATTGGAGGCGAGTGAGATTTGATTTGCTTGGCAGATATACGTGGCTGTGTTGGGTATTTGCTATTCACCGTTTGTTCATCAAGTTATGGTTGGTCAATGGTATCTTACACGAAACCACCCGGTTTTTTCAACCCTGTCCTGGTTTGCCAACAAAAGATCTTGAAGAGGTATCCACTATGCACCTAAACCCTACAACGTCATAGAGGCCAATGATATCTGCACGACCCATGATAGCACATGTTTGCTGGATCTGAGGGAATTCAAAAGGCTCGAAAATCCCCCATCGATATCCTCCTCATTCAGACTTCACACTTCAGACTTACACACTTTTCATCAAACAAACTTTCAATCCTACCAAAAACACTCTAAACTGTCAGTATATCGGGATTCGAATCTATTAGACCTCTTTATTGATTATCAGTTATTTAGACATTCCTCAAAATGCCTTTCGAACAACCAGTCGTTGAACAACAAATCCAATCCGAAGCTCCTATGAGCTCCGAGAACATTGGTATCGAAATGCAACAACCAGTATGATATCCCTCTCACAGTACAGACTTACTACCATAATATACAACATACTAATCTCTTCCCTACAGAAACCAGTTCCTACCATGGGTACCGAGACCAACCTTCGTGGTGGTGAGTCCGCTGGCTGTGAATGCTGTGGATGTGGCTGTGGTGAAACATGCTGTTAGAAGACGGAGCTCGGAGTGGTGGAAACGAAATGATGATGATAGTTAGCGATGGATAAGGATTCGACTCTGAAATACAGAGATTTGGAATATGGGTTTACGATTATGACAATACAATACAAATACAATATATACTGATGAGAATAATTTCTCAAATCAACACACAACGTTTGTTGTTTGCTTCATTCGTACTGCTTCATATTGGATTTCGATCTTTCTTTAATGACACCGCCAAGTTGATTTCTCCACGTTTCCGTATCTTGGCTGCTTGCGTCCTCGCTCATCAAGCTTTTTCAAGGGTGGCTGCAGTGATACGACACGGGAAGTACAATTAGCTTCGTAATTGGCTCGGATAAATATGGGTTTTATATCGGGTAATATGGGTACGCACTAGACACATATTTAGTAACTAATTTGCGGGAATTCGAGAAAATCGTTCGATCATGGAAGAAGAGATAATTTATGGAAGGAAGAAGATTTTGGTTAAACAGGTTGTTGTTGTTAATGAATGAATTCAGTTCTCTTTCGAAAGCTTTTCAATCAATCGCTATTTGATACTCAGGAGTTAAGCATTTCCTTCGTTTGTCGTTTTGCTCAACATCTAGATCAGCGACATGCTACGCTCCCTCCCGCTGAAAGACGTCAAGTCAAGCTTTTGACAAGCCTCTAACTCTCATCGCCAATTTCCTTGGCAGAAAATAAAATGAAACTATTGATACTACGATGTTTTGGAAGTTATCACTTGCAGTCACAGTCAGACTGTCAGATATATGCAGCGCAGTCACAAATCTCATCGCACTTTCCCATTTACGCCCATACAAATTTCCACAGAGTCGAGTAACAACAGGTAGGTGCCTAATTCAGTATGCTTCACGAAGTGAGATGAATTATTCATAAATTTCGTTTCCGTAAGACTTGCGCGAAAGTATCTCTTTTCTTTTCTCTTTGCAGTGTTGGTTGTACTTTTCGTATCGGATCGCGAAATCTAGTATTTTCTTTTGTATTCTCCAAACGCCACCATGCATCCACACTCATACCTCGGCGCAATCGTCCTCCTCACGAGTGTCACCACCATCGTATCCGCTCTTCCAGAAAAAGAAATCCTCGTGCCTATTTTGCCTCGTCAATCCTCCGAAGAAGATTATCTCACCTCCGTCTGTTCTCCAAACATAACCTCAGGCACCATCCCCCCCTGCATCGAAGTAATAACCATCCAATCTGCCTGCACCCCCAACGGCACCACGCCTCTTGATTATCTCGCTCACGCACAATGCATGTGTAATGGTGGATTTTTCAGCAACTGGCTTGGATGTCTCAACTGCGATTATGTACATGGTGGACGATCCCCAGCAGTCGTCAGCGCATTTAATACTATTATTACCAGTGCGTCCAATCAACTCTGTACCGGTACACCTACTGCGAGTTTTGCGGCAATTTTCAATAGTTTGGGAGGAGGAGATGTAGCAGAGGGAACGGCAACTCAATTGACGGATTTGTATCCGAGTGAGACGGCGGTTAGTCTTTATTATACTGCGAGTGGAAATCAGGGACCAGGCGCTATTACGGGAAGTGCAACGGGAGCCACGAAGACGGGTGGTACGTCGGCGAGTGTGGCGGCTACGGGATCGTCATCGGCCTCTGGTGTTTCGGCTACCGCTACGAAGACTACTGCGGGAAGTGCTGGTACGACGGCAAGTGGAACTGAAACTGCAACTGGAAGTACATCTCGTTCGACTGGAGGCGCTGCACCAACCGGGGTCATGAGGGGATTCTTGGGAATGGCTATTGGTGGCGTTGTAATGGCTGCATTGTGATTGATGTACTTGATGAGAATGGACGAAGGAGATGAACGTGCTGTATGACTATTCGAATTATTAATTAATAATGCCAATACCATAAAGAGAACGTGCAGCTCAAAGATCTTAAATATTTTATTGTTCCCCTTGACCCCTTCTTATATTCCTAACTCAAGCGAGATTGTCAGATATTAAAGTGTCTAATTATGATCAGGGGTTTGGGAAAGTCAAAATCATCAGTAGGTTGAATCACATGGGAATTACATCCTCAAACGAATTACAAAATTTGAGGCCCATTATCCAAGGCGGATACAAAAGCATGGAACATCGTGTCTAAGATAAATATAGACAGCGGCAACCTATTGCGCGAGATCGATCTTCAGATCAAGACTTTGAAATATTGCCAAAGAATACTTTATCGGTGTAAGTCCTTCACTCACGAAGACATAGATTTCTCTCTTCTCCAATCCATTTGTATAATGAGTTTCCCTAATTCGGTGTGCATCATACCTAATCTGTATCAAGGGAGTCGAAGGAAACATTGCATTATGCACTATATCATAAAATCTCGCAATTTCTGCTACATGGGATAGAAGTCCAGGACCCGAGTTTGGTCAATCCCATATACTTTTCATACGCTAAATGCATTTGTGTATAATGGTACAGCTGCAGTTTCATTCTATCCCCAGGTGCCATTTATCGATATCACATAAATGGTCAGTCACATCAACATAACCTGTTTACCTCCCAACAAAACTCTAAAGATTGCAATTTATGAAATAGAAGCCTCCAAGGTAATACCTCTCGAATGAAAAAAAGAACAGTTATCATATCGACCTCACGCATTCTCTCAAAGACATTCATCCATCCATTTATCTCCTGTTTTGCTTCCGAGTTTTCATCCAAATGTGGACACAAATGCAAAGGAAATCCCTACTCAATCTCGAGTTTATAGCCCTCTAGGGAAGAACTATCTTCTTTCAATTTATTATTATCCTTCTTCTTCTCATCTTTTGCAGACATTCAACACAAGATATCAGACGAGGGCGTTTTATAAGTCTAATCAATCTATAAAATAACGAAACTGGTCGAATTTATTTATCATTATGTGGTCAAATATGGAGTGAACGATTGATTTCTTGCTAAATGTTATGTAGAATTCATAGAATGTGTCTTCACTATGGACTCCTATTTCCCAAACGAATGAGTATTTCAGAAGATTGAAAGAGGAGAACTAGTAATAATAACAATAAGATAAAGAAAACAAGAAAACCCCTCCTCATATTTAACCCATCCTATGACCTCTTCATCGAAACCATAAAGCCACGAAATCACTCAAAAACTCCCTTCATCATCTTTCTCCAAGAACTCCCCAAGCTCTCTTCCCCCCTCTCCCTTCCGCAATCTCGACACTCTAGGATACATAATCTCTCCACCTCGTTTTCACTTGCTCATCACTTGCTCATACACCCTCAAACACCCTCACATAAAACAATCTCCCAACCACATCCTCAACACAACCAGCTAATCCCATCACGCATCCCCTCTCTCAAGCATCTAGTCTCCCAGTCTCCCAGTCTCTCAGTCTCCCAGTCTCTCAGTCTCCCACTCTTCCATCAGGAACTTCGCAATACAACTCTGAAGCGGACATCCACCCATACCACACACCATCACACGACACCCCCATCTCCATCTCCATCTCCATCCCTCAAAACCACCCCATCAAATCCTCTTCCAGAAAACAAAACCCCAACCTATCTGCCTGCATATTCATCAAAATCACAATCTCCATCAAAATCATCCACCAAACCCCCCTCCAACCATAAAACCACACACAAATAACATACCGGTATCTATATAATCTACCTTCTAATACCTATCTAGGTATCTTTCCCCGTCTATATATTTCTCCATACTTTATCCACGCTCAAGAGTATTTTTTTCACTCATTTCTTCGAGCTTGATGTATGTAAACGGAATTTACAAGATCCCTTCTAATGATGAAAAGAAAAATCGATTTCCAGTTCAATCTCAATTTCAATCTCCCTTCCTTCCTTCTTCAAAGCCCTACCTCTCTCCTTTCTTCCCCTCCCCTCCTCCTCCCATCAAATCCCCTCAAACTCAATCTCTCAATCTCTCAATCTCTCAATCTCTCAATCTCTCAATCTCTCAATCTCTCAATCTCTCAATCTCTCAATCTCTCAATCTCTCAATCTCTCAATCTCTCAATCTCTCAATCTCTCAATCTCCCAACCTCCCAACCTCTCATCAACCAACCACCACTACCCTCTTCCTCATGAGACCAAGACACCATTAGCGATACCTGTGTATACAACCCCGACTCCGAATCATTTTCTGTCCATGAAGATCCACCGATTCATACGACTTGACATGTGGGGGAGGAGACTTTCGATATCTCCATTTTCCAGAGCAGGATGGAAAGACGAATTCGACAACCATACCAATACCTAGCTACCTAGGTAATTTAATTAGAGACAGGTTCACTTCATCACAACAATAGAATTACCTCTGTAATGCAAATGAAGACGTCAAGCCTTCAATAGTCCAAAACTCCAGTCAATCATAATCAAATCTCACAGAACGAATTTTATCAATCAAAGACAGAATCAAACAATTTAACAGATAATTTATTTCATTTCGTTTAGTGTCATATCACATAGTAGCAGCTTGGACCATCAAAGCCGCATACCTTAAAACCCATTTCCTTTCCCATCCCATATCAATTATACAATCATCTTCCCTAATTATGCCTTGTTGGCACCAGAAGAACCACTGTTCTTCGCTCTCTCACCATAAGCCTTGGTAGCATAGTCACCACCAATAACAATCAAATCTTCTGGTCTGTAATCATGCTTGCCAGACAAGTAGCTCTCGAGGATAGCCTTGGTACCATCGGCATATCTCTTTTGAGCATCCAAAGAGGTACCAGACATGTGAGGAACCATGGCGTTTCCACCACCGAATGGATTCTTTGCGTAGCGGAGTGGGTGGTCCTTTGGTGCTGGTTGAGGGAACCAGACATCTCCTCCGTAACCGCGGAGGTGACCAGACTTGAGGGCCTCGGCAACATCTTCCTTGACAACGATGGCACCACGGGCGGTGTTGACCAACCAGGATCCTATTTTGATGTTAGTTTAATGATATGAGTAAGCGAAAAAGAGGAAACATACCCTTCTTCATCTTGGAGATCAACTCCTTGTTGAAAAGACCACGGGTCTTTTCGTGGAGAGGGCAGTTGATGGTGACAACATCACATTGAGCCAACATCTCCTCCAAGTCGGTAACACGTCTGCAACCAATCTCCTTCTCAACCTCTGGCTTAAGAGGTTGGTAATCGAAGTACAACAATTCCTTGCAGTCGAATGGCTTCAATCTTCTCAAGACACGCTCACCAATTCTTCCAACAGCAACGGTACCGACGACCTTGCCCTCAAGATCGAACTCGTTCTTGGCGGCAGCGGCAACATCCCATTCTCCAGCTTGGATTTGCTCGTGTGCTGGGACAAAGTTACGGACGAGAACCAAGATGGTCATAACGACGTGCTCAGCGACGGAGACAACGTTAGATCCAGTAACTTCAGCAACGGTGATACCACCGTTGGTCTTGTTGGCAGCATTGAGATCGACGTGATCAGATCCAATACCGGCAGTGATGGCGATCTTGAGGTTCTTGGCCTTGGCAAGACGCTCGGCAGTGAGGTAACCAGGGTGGAAACTGAGAAGGGAAGCTTGTTAGAATCTGCGAATTAGTATATGGAAGATGGGTAACATACGGAGTGGTAATGATAATCTCTGCGTCTACCAAGTGCTTGTCGAATTCGGAGTTCTCTCCCTCCTTGTCAGAGGTGGTGATGAGCTCATGTCCTTGGTCCTCGAGCCATTTGCGGATACCGAGCTCGTTCTCAGTTGTGCCGAGAAGCTCTGGGACCTAATTGTATTCATGTTAATCAATTGATCCAAAGATAGATACTCAATTGAAGTAGTTGGACGGCTACCCCGCAATCGAGTAGAGGGGTAAAGTAAATATATATAACATACCTCTTCGGCGTGCTTCTTTCCGTCGTACAATACAAGAAGTACCTTGACCTTTTCACGATGATTACCCGTTAGCATTCTGATATTTCCAAATGTATGATTGAGCTTCTGTGAGCCAAAAGCAGTCGATCGCGTCGTCCATGTTGGGGTGGTTCTCGCAACAGCAGAAGCTGTGAAGATTGATCGAGCACAAGGAGACGGTCTTGTTGCCAAACGAGAGAGGGAACGAGTGAAAAATACCATTTTGAATTATTGTTTTATTATTTGTAGTTGTTGAAAAAGGTATTGGTTGATTGTAGAATAAGTAACAAAGAGTATATTTCTGTTGTATGGAAGTTGTGTTAGATGTATGTATGTTTGGGAAAGTGCGGGGTTCGGGATGTATTAACCTATATTGGCAGCCACGGTTAGTAACATGTACATCGACCATTTGAGAATATCAATGGAATTTGAGGCTTAAGGGATCAGAATAGAGTTTGGAAGATCCCAATGGGATTGATCTCTTGACCATATGAAGCTATCCATACTTCCCGTCTGATGTTGTTGGCGATGGGAGGGGTAGAAGCTTACCTTTGTTCTGAATGTCTGATATATAAAAAAGATGAAGATGTAGAGGAAGTATACAACAAACAAGAAGGCGGGAACAGCTCTTCAATATATATAATGTTTGATACCTTCGCTGCCTTCAATACCCCTCAATAAATTCGGGATATCACGACTACATTCCATAGCAAGAAGTCTTGGTATTTCCACCATTTCCCCTCTTTTTCCGACAATATTGGGTCAAAACTATCCACAAATGAAAAGTGGTCGACTCGGAGGACTTCGTCGCATTCTCCACTTACAGCACATAAATAACCAACGAGGTAACTGGTAAGAAACTCATGAGACTCGGAGAAGGCCAAAGAATCATTCATCGATCATCTTGCCGTGTTGGGCTGTACTGTGTGGTCAAAGGCCCATTGCCAATTTGGTCCACGTTTCCGAATGGCAATGGGATGATGGCATGATGGGTGGATGGGTGAATCGGTATTCGGATTCTTTGGACCAGCTAGTCTAGGTGATTTCTCGTAGATTCGTAGAATATTTCAAAGGGTAGCTCGGTAGCTTTACGGGGAGCTATGATTCCGCACGTTTCCCGTACATGTATGGTCCACTTTACTCAAGCTAAGCTCAGGAACAGAAAGACCTTCACGTCGAAGTGGATGAGAGATGCATTACATTGCTTGCCACTATCTAGAACGTTGGGTATGTGACGATGATCATGTTAAAGTATGGAATCTATGGACGTACTGTGAAGCACATGGTGATCATGTAAGCTTACAAAGGATGGATTCTATGGTAGTACTATGAAGCTTACGATGATCATGTAAAAAGTATGTATGTATGCATGCCCTATGAAGCTCAATGGACTGACTGGTGGATGTTTCACCAGGTGATGATAATCAATCCCATTCTTAACCTTACCTGTTGACTTGACCCAGCTAGCTGTCTTCTCTCCCAACCCATTGTGACACATATGCAACTTCTGGTGTTCCTGTCCTTTTGCCTCTAGACCTGCCTCGCCTGCCTCGCTTGCCTGGTAGACCCTACATATCATGTCCACTCAATTTGTATGCACATCGAGAAACCGGCATAGTTGTCCTTCTGTCTGTCTATCTGTCTGTCTGTACTCAAACGATCATTTCCCATCAATTTTCCTTCCTGCGGGCCTGCGGGGTAAAGCGTTATTGTGTTACATCACATCCCAACCAATTACCCGCCGGACATCTCTCGGCGTGGACCCCACCAGCCATTCGGTATCTTATCAAAACTACTCGCTTGTACCATTGTACTCTCCGAACTTCCCCTTCATTCTACATACGTAACAAAAATTCGGTATCTACACATCACCACGATAACCAACATCGAAAAATCTCCGTCTACCATGGACGCCGCTCCAAATCTGGTCTGACCGTGCCGCGAGCGTGCTTCAATTCCGCGTTCAATAAATGCACCTCAGGAGTTGCGCGGGGTATAGGTCGTGAACAGATGTGCATCCGTGCCTAGTCCTGGTTCTGTATGTGCAGTGTGCAGACCAGTCAACGGTGAATGGGTGTGGTGGCATTGCATTTGGGGTCCAATATACTTCTTGGCAATGTTCGAGACCGATGATTTGCACGGGACCAAGAATGGGGCGGCTTCAATGGCAGGTATCCGCGGTAATTAAGAGGCCCTAATTAGTGACTAGTACACCTTGTTGTCTTGATATCCAAATCAAGACAAAATAATCGGGTTTCAAAGTCGCAATGTAGTCTTGGCAATCACTCCCTCATGGTCCAAATTACAACGTCAATCAAATGAGTTTTTTAATTGTCAAAACGCTCAGTGGTTGAGATACGGTCTTGATTTCAATACAACGACTTATTTCATTCATATTGCGAATGGAAATGCCTCCACAACTGCGGCCAAACGCTTCATGGGAGAGCGATGCGGAGTATGGAGCAGAGAACAGATAAATCTCCGCATTGACGAATTCGCACCTTTGAAGTTGCCAATGTGGCTCTCAAGGTTGTTCAAGCTGTGACAGAGGTTGAAAGCCAGCCTTCAGAGAATCTCCAGATGCATCACATTGTCAGAGAAATAATCTCGCATGGCCGTGTTAACCAAGAGCACGAGAAAATAAAGTAGAAGGGCTACGTTTAAGCCCAAGAGTAGTTTCATCTCCCCTCTTCTTTTCGAGCTCTTCAACTCTTCTTTGTCCCCTAGAAGTTCTCACGTCCTCTTTACCGGCTCAACCCTTCAAAGTTAACTCAAACTTTCCTTGTCTTTGGTTTGGAAACGAGATCAGGATATCTGGACATTTTTCTTGATAGTCTCGATTGAAAAACACCCGTTCAATGATTGATGACACGAATTGGAAGCAGTACAAAGGCTTTTTCTCTTCTGGTCGAGGAGTGGAGATGAACTATGGGGAGTGAAGCAAAAATGGGTATGCGTAGTTCGCAACGCGATCATTATATTCGTGCTTCAGCTTGAACATTTGATCACTATGATATTTTGCCTTTGTAACTTAGACTAAGCAATCTTACCTTTTTCATTCAGATCTATCTTGCTTTCCTAAACTCAATTGTATCCAGAACATCTACATTCATGAGAACGGATCGGTATTGATACAAATTCTCTTGATCACAGATCAGGAACACTCATTTCTGCTTGTTCCGAAGGGGTATTCACCCATCATGTTTCCATCAAATTATTACCAGCCAGCGATGCAGTTATCTCGAGGGGTTTTCCAATCCTTCGTTTTTTTGTTTGAGTTCGAATAAAGTACATAAAGATATTGTAGATATCAACGAAGATTTGGAGCCAAGACACACAATATTCAAGCCCGGGATGAGTATCTGATGTTATTCCAGAAAATGTTATTCGGGAATAGTATCTATTCACGATATCTCAACGAGTCACGAAAGTGACCCCTATAGGGCATTTTGCCGCCATTCTCCTGTTTTTTTTGTTTCGACATGTCCTATCAGTCACCATCCAAGTCAAAATTCTGACGATTGATCCAACAATGAATGGTGTAAATTATCTTGAGGATACCGAGTAACGTTCAGCATCGTTTATTTTGGGATTGATATGACGATTCTCGACTGTTCTCTCATCTCTTCTCTTACATGTGATATTGACTTGAGCTATACATGGAGAAGTTATTTATAGGATTAAATGAATGCGTGGGATCAGCTTCTCAGGGCTGTGAACTTATAATTGTATGTTCTGTGAATAATATGAGTATTTTCAGATAAATTCTTTCTTCATCCACATGCGATATTAGATACCGACGGCTTTGGAATACACTTATATCTAAATATATTTAGAATCAAGAAGACTCATTGCTCAGTGGTTCTGATCTTAAACCTGTTTCCGAGTGTATCATACCCTAATGTGAACATTTTCGAGTCACAATACCTTCATGTGAGACTCATTTTCATGAGCTTTTGACTGTAGTGCCCTGTTCTTATCACTTTGATACCCCTCGAATGCATCTTTCGAGTCAGAATGCCCTCTATTAGGACTCATTATCTGAACTTCAACTCGAAGTTAAAGACAGGAAAATAGATGGTCGTTTCACTTTATAGCTAGCTTTTCTCTACACAGATTCGATCGCATCTTGTGTAAATAGAGTGCCAGTGACGCAGTACTTACTATATAGTTCCTAATTAATAACATTTTATTCTGTCTAGAGAGCTAATCTATGTATGTATAGAAAGAAGTAGTTGTTATATAGAGATCTTTATCTATCTCGCAATCTTACCGAGATATGATATGGAAAGATTCCGGGGTAGTTTCTCTCAAGCTCGATACGTTCCGATGCATTCTAATTCACCAATCTACAAGTTCAATTGCGAGGTTTATGAGGTCTTTTGAGCTCCTCTGTCTCGCTATAATAAAGTAAATTTGGTTGGTTGGAACACATTCATACTAATTCATATTCAATTACGATTGGAACTGAGTCAAAAGTGACTAAATCGAGCCGAATTTCCTCAAACTACGGCTAAAATGAGTAGAATATCGTCATTTTCAACGTATCAGAACCCCTCATTGGCTCGTTGGGGTATATCGAAGACTAAATGATCAAATGTAGTTAATATGGTTGTTCTTATGTATATCTTGTCTTTTTATAAGCTTAAATGTAGTCAACTCCATCAAGTGAAGCTAAATTATGTCTAAATTTGATGAAAAATGACACGACAAATTAAGTTTCTATGGATGAGTGTCTCTTACAGCTTGAGCTGAGGTATATCTGAGGGCTCAATGGTTGAAGATGGTCTATGATACCATTCTTCCTTGAAGTATCACTGAATCTCTATAAAATGCGAATGGACTTGGTTGTTCGGAGTATCTATTTCGGTGTTGATACGTATTTATGATCACCATCTTGGGAAAACAAGAATCAACACTGAAGGTATACTCAGAGACGCTCAATTCAAGTACTTCCTCCTCATTATTACCAATTCTGATTTTATTTAGATGTTCGAATATCTCTGAAAATTATAAATGCACTCGGAAGCGAAATGAAAGCAAATTTTCCCTTCTCTCACTGGTTAATCAACCCTTTCTACAGATCCCCTCCGTTTATAGAGAGGAAATGTTTCAAAAGAGCTGGGGGTAAGTTTGGAGTAGCTCTTGTAGCATTATGAGATGCGAAGTTTCGGTCTTGTAGAGGTGCATGTATTTCCTCAAAATACGATAAAATATAAGGGTGCTGGCTATCTATCTTTCACTCTATTCAAACAATAGGGAGCACAGGAGATTAAATTCAATACCCTACCTCTTCTGGACCCCATAAACTTTAATAAAAGACGATTCCCTTTTCTAGTCCCTATTAAGAGGCAGACATCGACTGAAACGGTATCAAAACTAATGTGTTAAGAATTCAGTGTGAAAAGCAACGTTGTTAAATATTATCTATCTATCTCTAGGTGTTCTACCTGTATCTTGCGGTAGTGCGACCAGCGCCTGTACCTCTTGCATCTATGCATGCCTCAATTAAGTAAATCCTCAGTCGTACGACCAGCGTATGAGACTTCCCGGTATCTAATTATGTCTTAATGGAGCGACCAGCGCATCTAATGTCCAAATCCCTCTATGAAATACCATACAAGTTCTGCAGAACGTTTTGTTTCCGAACATTACGCTCCTTCGTCCTCAAAATAATATTTAGGTGCCTTTTTTCCCTTGTCTTTATGCTCCTCATCTCGTTTAGAGTACTTTGAGTGACGGTGCCTATGCGAGGAGCTTGAAGTCGAATCTCTGGAATGTTTTCCTTGAGTGTCTCGTCTCAAATATTTTGCTGGCCCAGGTTGTTGTTCTTTTGACGTTGACCCTGAAGGTTGACTGCCTGGTTCATATGCATTAGACTCCAATGTCCATTGCGCGTCTCCTTTGCTATCAACAGTTTCTACATAGATGAACTCTTTGATTCGCCAATCCCATCGGAGGCCTTTATCCCTCAGGGCACTATCATAAGTGTGTTTCCAATGATTCACAATCGTTTCTGGCACGTTGCGAAGAACCAGTCGAGGAGACCATAGAGAACTTAGCGCCCATTTCTCCACAGACCTGAATGCTTTTCCACGGTTAATGTTGTTTTTATTGGCCATGATGCCGAACAAGCGCCTCACTTGCTCCTCAGTGAAGGCGTTTGGTCGCCTATGAGTTACTCCTCCAAAGCCTGGTGGTCTGCCGGCTTTATTGAGTATCGCCACTATGTCACCAAGCGTATTTACCTGATCACTCCCCCCAGGCCCTGTTCCTTGCATACCTTCAACTATGGTGTCAGGTCTGTGCACTGCTCCCAGATGAACTGTAGTGATGTATGCTAGTCGATATAAGTCCACATGATCAAACATAAGACATATCCGTTCATCCTCACAGCCCTCTTCACCCTGCCATGTATCTATCCACAGATCAGCCACGACACCCTTATTGGGATGGGTTTTCTTGAAACCCGGAAAATATCCTGAGTCCCAAGGAACAGTAGACCATACTCCATAGGGTGGTTCATCAGGTTTAAGAGGAATGTACTTTGCTCCAGGTATCTCAGTCTGTAGCTGTTCGAAGGTTGCTGGTGAGCCTGGGGTCTGGGCGTAGATGGAAGAAGGCCCCCGTGTAGGCGGAGAGAGCTGTCTTTGATCTTCAACAAAATTGCGAGCACCTTGCTGACGCTGAGCGTAATTATGAGCAGCCGCGAGACTACCATAATCTTGAACTTCCTGGGGATTTATGATTGATGGGTTAAGATCACTTGAATTTATGGATGGTGGCGGTGGACTATACTGCTGGAAGTATTGCGCGGTCTGTGGTTGAGGTTGGGCAATATTTAGGTTGTCAAATGTAGGTCCATATTGTCCGGCGTTTGAGTTTTGTCCATAATTCCCTGATGAATAGTGGCTTCCTGATGCAAGAGGTTGAGATAAATGTGAGGAAGGATATGAATAATGTTCTCCTGACGCAAGAGATGGTTCATATTCCTCAGGTATTCTCCCTCTCACTGGGCCCGCCTCACCACTGATGATTTGATCGCGAGACCAATAAAGATCACGCAATTCATCATACGTATGGGCAACTCTGTTGTTATAAGACATGGCTGTTCAGTAAAATTTAGGTGCAGTTCTTAGTTTGCTGATCGATCTGATTTGGTAAAGAGTGATGACACTAAGCTTGCGACTCTGGCAACTAGACACTGCAAGTAGATTCCGAAGACGAGCTTGGCGACGGGAATGCCTAGAAACGTTGCTAAACAGTAAGGTAATGTATTACTAGAGAAAAATAATGGATGGTGATAAAGTGTGTATGAGGTAATATCAAGAAGATTATCTTGGTTCACAAGTGTTTTGTTATTGTTGTGTATTCTGAAGATGTTTCGTACTTTGCAGACTCAAATCAAGAGGGTCACACCGTCCCCTATTATTCTCACGATCCCCCTGTAGCCCTTCTCTGAAAAGCTTTCAAGATGACTGTGAAAGAGCATTCTGACTCAAAAACTGCATATGAAGAGTGACTCAGATATGGTATTGGAGTCAACAGCATAGGAGATTCACTTCAATGCCTGACTTTTCCAGCTCACATGTATTATATTGAAAGACTATTTCGGTTCCCGGTTCCCGGTTTCTATTACAGTGCAGATATCAAATGAAGTGGTATGGAACCCAAAATGTTGAGAAAAATTTAGTGGAAAAAGCAACGTTATTAAGCATTATCTATCTATCTTCGGGTCTTTATTACCAGTAGTGCGACCATCGCATCTACATTTGAAGCCACTCTATGCCCCGTTCAAAGAAATCCTCAGTCGTGCGGCTAGCGCATCAGACTTCCTGGTGTCCAATTACATCCTAATAGTATGACCAACGCGTCTAAACTCAGTGTCTCTCTAAGTCCTATACAGAAACACCTTATCTACGTACCCATTATAAGAAGCTTTCCCTTTACTGTCCTCAGAGTATACCCTACTGTAACCATGGTGAGATTTGGAAGCGCTCGATTCTTCACGTGAATGTTTAGAAGTCGAGATTTGAGGCTCCACAGTGACTACATCGTATTCCTCTCCCCTTCCCGCTTTGTGATACTGTTTTGCTTCATCTAATGCCAATTGTTCTGCTTCCAACCTGCTCTGCTCTCCCCAACTCACTCGCTCTAATCTTTTCTGTAGGGCGTCCACTTCATCTGGATCATTCTGCAAATATTGCTGTTCATGGGTATCTTCTTTCTCTGCGGTTGTGTTGGTCCAAGTGCGAGCTTCGGCGGGTAAAGGTGGGTAAGTATAGGTCTGTGGTATGTACCAAATGGTTTCAGGTCCAATTTCTTTATCACGAGACATGAAGTAGGGAACTCTCCATTGCCAGCAAAGCCTCTTGTCCGCAACGGCAGAGGCATTGTCGTAGCCAAAATACCCCATGATAGCTTCTGGTAGGCCTGACACGAGCTTCTTAGGAGTCCAATATGGATATCCTTTAGTAGCCTTCTTTTTCCCTGTACCTAGACCTATCTCAATCGACTTATTATTGCTTCCCATCCACGCACCTAAGATGTTAACTGCTGCACCACGCTGTCGATTTTCCCTGTTTGCCATGATACTAAAAAGTGCCCTCACTTGATCCTCAGTGAAGCCAACCTATGGAAGAGGTCGCAAATCACTCACATTTCCAAACCCTTTTGGTCTACCCGCGCTATTGAGAATGTATGTTGCAATTTTTATACACTCCAGATCATTGTTGCAGCAATCAACAGTCGAATTCAAAGTCGTAACAATGTATACAAGTCGATAAAGATCCACATGGTCAAAGAGATGACAAGTTCGCATTTGCTCATCATCTAGCCAAACGCCAGCCCATAAGGCTGCTACAGGGCCGCGCTCATGCTTGTCGAATCCGGGACTATATCCCGATTCCCACTTGTTTGGATAGTCGTTTACTCCATAAGGAAGTTCTCCCTGATCTTTGAAAGTGGGAATCACAGCAGGCAATCTTGTCATTACTTGCTGATAGCTAACCGACGGGGAACCTGTAAGCGGGATTGGAGTGCTCATGGGATTAGTTGGCAGATTGGGATAATCAGAACTTTTCGGTGTGGAGGATTTATTTTCCACTTGCACCTTTAGGTAGCCCAGACCAGCTTCTTCCCAGGGATCTTTGAAGGATGTTGTATTAGCCACATTTTGATCTCTATAGTTGTATCCGGACGAGGCTGGTGCCTCAGTTGTTGTTTCCGCGTAAGAATAGCTTCCAGTACCAAAAGACGATCCTTGATAAACAGGCGGTGGCACATCAGACTTAGGAGCCGGTCCAGCTGTAGCGTAATCCTGCTGCTCGTATTGTCCCTGGTAAGAAGGAGGATGATTGACTTCATTGTATCCTCCCGTGTAACGCTGTACCGGTGGTGCTGGCGCTGGCTGGACGTATCTTCGATGATGATCTCTTGCATCAGCATTTCCTGAAGACCTTCTTGAAGATGATCCACGGTTTGAAATCCTATAGATCGTCTCCCTTCCTTGGCTTGCTTTTCCTTTCTCTTGGTTGCGGGAAGATATTGTTGTAGATATCAATCAGCTCTCAGATACTTAGAGTTTCAGAAGCCCCAGTCTACTGTCAACTTGAAACGACTTCTAGACGTTTAAAGTTATCTATCACTATGTTGGACTTGCACGATCTTGATTGAGGATAAAGCACCGAAGACGTTATGTAACAATGAGGGGCGTATCTATGATGATCAAGCCCAAATATCAGCGTAGGAGATGGTCAAAGAAGAGGAATGGGTGTTGTGTGTACAAGAGGGTTGTACTCAGTTGATATTATGTTGAACAAAAGGTATTTCCTTGATTCGCAAGATTTTCGTTGTACTTCGATGTGTTTTGGGGATTGAGGTAATGTATATGTGAGGTTAAATCAAGAGGGTTGCACCGTTCCCTATTATTCCCACAATCCTCTTGTTATCTCTTCCTAAAAAGCTTTCAAAATGACTGTAAAAGAACAACATCCTGACTCAAAAGATGCATGTGAAGTGTGACTAAGGTGTGATATTGGAGTCAACAACATAGGTAGATTCGCTTCGAGCAATAACTATCTGACTCGAAACATTGATATCGGGATATGAGTACATGTAGAAACAGGTATTCGAGTCAAAACAACCGATTAATGAGTCCCATGAATCCAAAAATACATTTAGGGACCTTGAGAGTATGAATATATACTGTATGAAATATCCGAGTCAACATCGCTTGCCAAAAATGACGCAATAACCAAAAACAGTCATATTGATACCAAAATAGACAACTATGAGCCCCCGTTGCGACATGAGTGAATATGTATATATGAGCTCACGAGCGTATTGCACATATCACTCGCAGCTCTGAACTTAGAATGACATACAAAATACGAACCGACGAGTTAAACCTATTATGAAGATGTTATAATCCATCCAGGTAATACTAAAAGTCCCAGACCCTATGATTTGATTCCGTATATTTATTCATTCACTCCTATGAATAATCTCTCTATACATCATTCAAGTCCAAGTCACATGTAAATGACGAGTAAATAATAGGAAATCGTCACACCAATCCAAAAATAGACAGCGGTGAATCTCAAAATCCTCGCAATGCTCAAAACTAGTCATTATTGACTCGAGTGCACCGTATCTTGACTTAAAGTGAATAACTCACAGTCGAAAAGTGACTGCCTTTGATATCTCAGTCAGAATAATAAAGACTGTAAAATATTCCTTAGGGATCAAAGACGTAACTGTGAATGACTGGATATAAACACTATGAATGAATATTCGTTCGGAATAAGCGAAAATAATCATTCTTGACTTGAAAATATTGTTTTTGGACTCGGAGTGTTTATTTTGAGATGTGGATATACTAGGAACAGATATTCGAGTCAAACATGTGTATAAAACGCTAAGCTACTTGATATCAGTACGTTACTGGCGGTATATTACTCGATCAAGACGTCATGAATAAACATTTCTTCGGAATAAGCGAAAAATGTCATTATTGACGCGAATTTAGAGGATTTTGCATTAATGCGATTGGTTATGAATGTGATTATCATGTCTGTGATTGTGTATGGGCATACTGTTGGAGATGATTATGATTATGAGTGGAAGTGTCCTTGAAAAAATGAAAAGGAGTCATCGGTTATTCAATTTGGGGTAGTTTCACGTGATTTTGAGGGGTAGGGAGCAGCATGTGCTATCGGTCGATTCAGGTATAACAAGTATGATTTGAATGTGAAAAAGAGTAATTATTGTTCAGCCATCAAGGCAGGTATCATATTAATCACACAATCAAGCTTGAGCTCGAATACAATGATCGCTTCTCCAACTATACACCCCCCACTATGTATGTTCAACTCCATGAACCTCTCTTCCCTCTTTTCCCTTCTACCTCGTCTCTCGTCCTGCCAGCCCCTTCATATACCACCCATTTAAGCGCCACCCTTTCTATTCCTCCTCATCATTCTCTTCTTTTGGATAATTTGTGCCTTCTTTTTTTGTTTGCTATCATCATCGCCTTCGGCTGCTTCGTTCCTTGGCTTCTTTTTATCTTTTTGTTCAGATGCGTCGTCTTCGGCTTTACGCTTACCCCTATTTGATAATTAATACGTCATACTTGTTAATGCAAAATGGAACGTAGACTTACTTGAGAGCGACTCTATCGAAACTCTTTTCCTTTTCGAATTTCCCACCTTTACCAGCTCCCTTGATGCCCTTTCCACCCTTTCTCATCGATTTCATTTGTGTATCTCTACCTGCCAATTTCTTCGAGCTGACGATTTCGCCCTTGGCGATCTTATCGGTAACTTCTTTTGAGCGATTGCGAGCTTTCTCTTCGTGTTCTTTTCTTCTGGAAACTACTTGTGCGTTCTCAATGGCAAATTCTACGATCATTCTTTGTGTTTTCCCTTGGGAGTTGGTGAGTGCGTGGCCGTTCAACCATCTTAAACCCATGAGGGCCCATCTGTGACTCGAATATTCAACGAAACCATATCCTCTTGATTTTCCGGCACCGCTCTCCTCGCTAACTTTCTTGCCTTCTCTACCCTCAAACACAACTTTAGCCTGTCGAACAATACCTTTCCCTTTGGCCTTTCTTTGCTTTTCAGCCTCGCGCATATCTTCACCTCCTCGTGAGATTTCTTCCTTGGAAAGTTGCTGACGTAATCCTGCCTTGACATCTGTAGCAAATCCAACAACGGCCTCACGAGCTAGAGCTTTGAGAGCTTTAGAATCGATATTACGGGGTATGTTACGTATGGCCAGACGCGTGAGACTGAGATGTAGAGTTGGGTTGCCTTGAATAAGTTTCTTTCTTTGCATGGCACTATCCTCGCGCATCTTTACCTCGGAAGGTGGGAGTATATCATAGAGAGGGGTGCCCTTTGCGACAGTACCTTCTTGAAGAAGGTAAAGCTTTCGTTTGTCCTTGTCGCGGTTATCACGGAAATGCGATCCCTCCTCTGTAAGCTTCACTGCTTGATCTTTCTCCACAGCCTTGGATATCTGAAGAAGTCTTCCTTCGATGGTATAAGCACCTGTTGAATCTGCGTTTTCAGGTTCCAGGAGAGAATGCTTAATTTGTGGAGTATCACCCTTCTTGATTGCATTTGCGCCAGTGGGTTGATATTTAGGGCAATTTCGGAAACAAGACTCAGCATCTTCGATGTTGTAGAAACAGACGAAACCGGTGCCCTTAGGACGATCTGTTGCCTTATCCATAACTACTCGAGCATATCTAACAGGACCAAATTGTTCAAAATGTTCCTTCAGAGTTGCGTCGAGAGTCGTAAAAGGGAGATTGCGAATAAAAAGTGTGGTTGAATTGTCGGTAATGAAAACTTTCTTTGGCTTTTCTTCTTCAATCGACTCATCTTCAGCTATATCATCAAAGTCGTCGTCGTTTTCAATTTCGTCGTCGTCCTCGTCGTCCTCATCGTCAATGTCGTCTTCATTCTCTTGATCGGCTTCGGGGTCACTCTCGTCCTCAGACTCTAGTTGATCTCCAAAGTTCTTCATGAAATTTGCGACATCATCGTCTACATCATCGTCCTCTGCCTTGTCTTTCGGCTGTTTGGGTTCATCCTTTGGTTTTTCCACATCCTCACTAATGCCTGCATCCTCGTTCTTTTTCTTCTCCCAAACATCCTTTTCAACAGCCCAATCAACAGCCAATTGTCTGCCATCAATCTCACGCCCATTGATTGCAGCCAATGCCTTCTCTGCATTCTTCTTGCCCCGCATGACAATAAATCCGAACCCCGCTTCCTTTCCTTTGACTTTGGGCATTGTAGCGAACTTGACCTTTCCAAACCCCATGAATAGTTTAGCCAATTCGTCGGGAGTCTTGACGCTCCATGGCAGATTTCGAATGATAAGTTTGGGGGGTGCTTTCGATTCTGCCAATTTCTCTTGTCGGGCTTTCTTGACAGCAGCTGCTTCGGTGGCAATTGCATTTTTTTCCTTGGGCATTTTCAATCCATCGTCTCCACCTTTTGCTGGCGCATCTCTGGAACGTGGTTGAGCAATTTCAATCTTCATTTTACGACCTTGAAATGATTGACCGTTGAATTCATCCAAGGCTCTCTGAGCGTCTTCCGCATCTGCAAATGTAACGAATCCATAACCCTTTGATTGTTTTGTAACGGGATCCAGTACAACTGTGGCATGCTTGAGGGGATAATTGTCGGAAAACAGCTCAGTCAATGATGCGGTTGTAGCTGTCGCAGGCAAAGAACGAACAAACAATGAACGGCGGGCAGATGTATTCGTTTCTTTTCTGGGTTTCTTCGAGGCATGTGTTTGGGCTTCTTCGGATGCTGCCTCAATGGCAACATCATCGTCGAATGGTCTCTTTCTCCCTTCAGACATGATGTTGTATTATTCAATGTTTGTTGTTGATTTTTGATTTAAATATCAAAAAACAAATACATTCATAGGGAATTTTCTCGATATCAAAAAATTATTTCCTATCAGTAACAAACCCGGCAATTTCCATTCGAGCTAATCTATATCTAGTTTAGTGCATATATGCTTGGTTCAAGTTGAAAATGGGGCTGGAACAACTCAAAATGCGTTTGATCGATTCTGGCTAGAGAAGAGCTGGGAATCATACGGAGTGTTTAATAATGAGTTTCATGATGAAAATGTCCAATTTCGACTCTTTTTAAATCTTTTCCAAAATTTCTCAAAACGGTATATATTGTAGGATAATCACATTCATTTCTTTAATTAATTCACATCCTGTCATAACGATTACAGTAACAGAGGAGAGAAGAGAAAAATTGAATGAAAAGCTGACCTCGGTTTAATTTACACGTGACTGTGGCGCTAAATCTTTCGTTCAGCCAATTCATTGACAAAGCGCCTCCCAATCCTATTGACCTCACATGAACGATCTGCCCAACTCCGCAGGAAATTCATCACCATCAACGACAATAACGAAACCGACGTTGATTATACGAAAAATAATATCGCATTGATAACACGATCTCAACGACCTACATGAAATAAGAGCACAGGTCGATTCAGCGCTGCCGTCGGCGGTATAGGTCCTTTTCTGCGACAATCGTTCTCGATCCACCTTCTCCTTCATTCCCTCTTACCTTTCTTCGAGCCTCGAGAATCCGATCAAAAACAGGTCCCTTTATCCTCGACACTCGCTCCATACTCTGTACAATTATTACTCTGCATTCCTTCTTTCTCAATCATCTCGAGGCGCATTTCGATACCCTTATACAATCTTTTCGATAAGAATAAACTTTTCAGTACGGCCGAAGTCGCAACAATCAATCCGTCTACCACCACATTCACCTTTTTTTTCTTTTCTACAACAACCTCGATTACTTTAATATTCAAACTTATTACCGAAATGCCTTCTGATCTCCCACAAACACCACAAAGTCCTTCCAATACCCCGGGCTCTACCGATATTTCCTCAAAGAACGTAGTTTCTCCACGAATAAACACTTCACTTCCGACACCAGCCCACAGCATCAACGGCAGCATGTCAACTGTCAATTCTGCCACCGAGGCATCTCAATCAATGGATCCTTCGACCAAGCGCAAGAGAGATTATGAAGATCTTGGTGATCAAAAGCAGAAGAAAGTTCACGTCGAGGACAGCAGACCTAGTATTGACGATCTCCATCAGGATGTCGGTAAAAAGTACCTTCTCTGCAGAACTCGTAAGAATTCCTTCTTTCTAGTTGATCTAACTTGTTGGTGGTTACAATCTCAAGCATATCTATTTAATATGCTCTATCCACTACTTGGATGAAATATTTTGTTAACATGGAATGACATACAGTTCATAAGCATCAAAATTTAAACGTACAACAAGACTTATACGATCGGTTCGGTTTGAACGGAATTGCTGCTAGTCTTGCTCGTGTCACAGCAGATGGGAAGAAGAACACAGTTCGAAAAACCTACAAAGGATACATAAAATCCTTGGGTATTGCTGGGCAGTTCGATGCAGTCAAAGGTCCAGAACCTAATCAGCCTGGATCACTCACTTCATTGATTGATCCCTACGGACCTTCTGGGCCCAGGGAAGCATGGAATCAATCTTATGTACAAGGAAAAGAAATCAGTAGAGGAATAGAGGATCTACTACCTCAACTTAAGACGGCTTTAATCATGGCCAAAGGCCCCGTTTCAAAAGAACGTTGGAATCATTCTGTTCTTGGTGAAATCAGTTCCCAAATTGCCAACGATCCCTCAAAGGCTGTTCCCGCGAAGGCAAAGGCTCCAATGCCAATGGCGCAAGGCACTATGGGTGTACCAAAGCAAAATAGAGGCGCGGCAGATATCGCACGTCCAAAAAGAACCGCAAAGAAGCGCTCATATGGTGATTCAAGTTTTGAAGGCTATGGCGAGGGTTACGTTGATGATGATGGTGGATATTCCACCGGCGATGGCGATGACAGAGCCGGTGGTCGAAAGCGACCAAAGAAGGTGGGTAGTGTGCTATATCCATCAAATGTGCAAGCTAACAAAGGAAAGACTCCAACATCTCACGGTTTCCAAGGACCGATGCGTCAAAGTTACGGACCTGGAATGGTTGGTGCTTGAACTTGACGAGAGAAATTGTCTTCCCTCCACCCTTGTTGACCTTAACCAAAAAAAATTAGGCGTGTTTTTTTGGCTCGTTGACTCGTTGCTTATGGATTTACACGCTTCTACATACTACCAATATTGCTGATCATTCCCTATAAGAGGTCGAATGATCAAACTGCTCTCGAGAATGAGCTTCCAGAACATAACGTTGGTTTAAAAATATAGCTTACAGAGCAAGCTATAAACCTTCCGGTCTGTGTATGATATAGAACGGCGGTGCTCTTCTTACGAGAAGCCTTTATTTGATGATAGCGCACTTTTGGGGGACATTTTGCCTCGAAGAGCTTTTGATGACTACTGGACTGGGAAAAACTGGTAATAGCCAATGCATGCATGGCATGGATAGTATTGGGCATCACGTATTTACGGACCCAACCAGCAAAATAATGAAAAAATAATCAAAAATTGTTTGCTCTGAGTGATTGACTGCTGGTGATGTGACGACGTTAGTTTTGTGTACTCTGTAGAACATGGATGAGGTCTAATATGCCTAGCTATCTGCTGCTTGTTTCGTTGGCCTGTGGTGATGGTGATTCATAGCAAAAATCCTCTTCTTCAACATCTCACAATCTGTCAGCAAATATTAATTACTACATTCAATCTATTGGACGAACACTCGAACAAACAAATGTCATATTTTTCTATTTTGTATGACTTCATCACAAAATTGGTCTACTTGCTGCAGCTACTGGGATTCCCGAGCAATGGCAACAATTTATACGCTAGTTGCCGAGAACACATTTCTAGAAGCTGGGACATAAATTCGTCATAACACCATCCGACCACCTTTTACTTCCACATTCCCTCTTTACCTTCTCTTCTATCAATTCATTCAATTGATCTGCTCATCATGGTTTCCTACAAGCTTACTACTCTTGCTCTTCTCGCTATTCGTGCTGTCAGCGTTTTTGCTGCACCAGAAAGTGTAAGTTTAATGTTTCCCTATTAATGACAGCTGTCATTAGCTTCAAATAGCTTTCGGGAGCTAAAGGATACCATTAAGAACCAAAATGAATACTAATTTATATTCATCAATAGACTGAAGATCAACGTACAGAAGCAGCAGCAGAAGGATTCGAAACTCCCCCAACCAATCTCGCCGTCTCAGTCGTTGCTGCATTTCCTGAAGCAGAAATCTTTGGTGTTAAACTCGTCAATGGCCATGCTTCTCGAGCCCTTCTTACATTCCAAAACGATGAAGCTGAAGCTGTTCAAGTAGCTGTTGTTGGTGGCTCTTTGTCTACTCTTCAGACTCTGCCAGAAGGAACTCATCCTAGTGCTGCTATTGTGCGCAATTTGACCTCGACAAGATATGATGTTGAGATTCAGCCTGGTGAGGTAGAAAGTTTGACATATGCTTTTACTACGGATTTGAACCCTCAAGATTTGAGATTGAACATTATTGCGGTTGTGGCTAGTCAAAAGGGTGGTGTTTATCAAATTCAGGCTTATAATGAGACTGTCGCTGTTGTTGAAGCTGCTACTAGCATTTTCGATCCACAAATGTAAGCTCCGCAGTGCGATTTTTCAGGAAATGAATTAGACTAACATCACAATAGCATCTTCCTCTATCTCTTCCTCCTCGCAGTCACCGGTGGTACTCTCTACTTCGTTTACAGAACCTGGATCGAATCTCTCTTCCCCCAAACTCGCAAAGGTGGAAAAGGTGGTGAGCGCGCCAAGCGTTCTTCTGGAGGAAGCAAGAAGGCAGTCGATGTTAAGGATCAAGTCTCTGTTATCGGTGCTGATGGTCCAGCTGTTACAACTCAATCTTTGGCTCAACAAGCTTATGATGAGAGCTGGATCCCAGACCACCACATCAACCGTCCTTCCGCAAGACGTGTTAAGAGCGGTGGCTCGAGAATCAAGACAAAGGTCGTTTCTGAGTAAATACGCAAGCGATGCAAGTTGCACATATGAATGGATGAGGGATGAAATAGAATGTGGGAGGCATGGAAAACCAGGAGATCCGGTTCTTGATCTAAGTCGAAGTGATCTTTGTATTAGATTGATGAAGGATTTCTTTGTATGAATGAATGGGAAGGAAAATGAAATTTGTATTATACAACTTTGGTGAACGGCTGGTTAATGGCCATTATGGGGTCAGAACATAGTACTTATTGTAACGATATCAATTTTAGCATGTACAAATCTGTTTGAGTATATATCTGCTATTCTTGTAAGATTTTTTTTATGTATAATACACAAGGTTCTGGGCTGAGCAAATGATCGGAAGATGGGTAATCATAGATTATGCGCAAGATGTTGAGGAACTAAGTGTCTCCTATCACGTTGATGATCTTGAAATGGAAGGGTGAAGATGAGGATCTAGAAATCTGCTATACGGATTATGAAGACATCGAGTTCGAATCACTAAATAAAGCATCATAAAAGTCTATATAAAATAAATGATATAAATTGAGATATATAATTACCTAGGTATTTAGATATAATTCTTCCCCTCCTTGTAAAGAAAAAAGAATTATATGTGTCAAGGTACAGGTAAAGACTTATATTGTACCATAAGGGTAGAAGAGCTATGGAAGAGTGAAGCCCTACTTATAGAAAATAGAGTATGCTAGTATACTGTGTTTGAGACACAAAGGCAACTACAAATCATATAGTTAGCGTTATAACAGTACCCCTTGCTTAAGGTAATCAATCCATAATCACAATATCAATTAATCTTTTAGAAAACAAAATAACATTAAAATACTCTAATTTCTATTATTGAATTAAAATGAATTTTTTTAGAAGTAATAATCAATTGTCAGAGCTTTTTAGATTTGTTTCGGCCTTAATTCAGGGATGCGCTTAGTATAAGTATTAGCGAGGAATCAGAAATAATAGATCTTTTGAAATCTACCCAAGCAGACAGTTCTGGCTTATTTGGATTTGCTAAATGGAAAGCGATAATCATATCTTTTTGACCACGAAGATCTTCAGCAAATTGCTAAGATGCTGGGTGATATTTCTATTTGATTTAATAATGAAATCTATTCTCATTATAATAGTCAAATAGTTTATCGAATTCCTACCGCTCAGTTTCCTTATTCATTTTATCATCTCTTTTTAGAATACAACCTTAATTTCAACAGAATTCGGTTTCGTTAATTACTTTTTAACCAGCTAATCCAAATAAGCAATGGAGTAATTGAAATAATGAATTATAGAATATTAGAAAGATCTTAAAACTAATAAAAAACTGGAGTAAATAGACTTGTTTATAAACTTTTAGAATCTTATAGAGATTATTCTATTTATTATTATCTTTCTTTATTAAGTAATTGGTTTTATATTCTTAATACTAATTTATACTTTATTATCTTTTTTATATAAAAAAATATTGATACAAATCTTGTTAGTATAATCTTTATATTTCTAAATAGATTAAGCAGCTAAGACTTTCAATTTTATTAGAATGATATCAAATCGGTTCATAATCTCATTGGTCTTTAGAAATTTGTATTTGTATTAATATAATAGATTTAGGGGAATAGATAAAAAGAGCTCAATACTAAGGTATAGATGAAAATTGTAGTTAGTGAAGAATAGGGATACACTGGTAGTCTCTAAGATGATATTATTAAATGTAAACTCTGCAAATAAAAGCCAATTATACCAATCATTTTAATAGAAGTTTATAAAAGCTCAAAGATATTGTTTTATTATAATATTGATTCTCTTTATTTATCCATTGGACTTAAAATAGAACAAGAAGGATTATTTCAAAGTAATTAATAGATGCTTGGATAAATGCTTTTAGAATTCTGATATAAATTATAAATCTTTATTGAATATTATATTATTAGGTGCATTATATAGATAATAGACTTTTTTAATAAATCGATTAGTGAGCTCCTTTATGGATAGTTTTATAACCGGAATGAAATAATGCATTTTTATTAGACGGCAGATAACTATAATGATATATTAATGCTTTTTGCTATAGTGTTTACTAATTGGTAATAGTATAATATAATCAATAAAGATATCGGATCAGGAACGGAATAGTATTGACAAAGATTTTAGGAATCTGGATATGGCAAGATGGGAGACTTTGGTTTGAAAGCAAAGTTGATAGGCTTGTATATAAATTTCGATTTCCCTTGATATATTGGGCTACTAGTATATGCAAGAGACGAGATTAATAGTTTTAATTCAATCAGGATATCCTGCCGGATTAATAGAATGTGTTCAATATATAATCTAGATATAAAGCTCAATGAAAAGGGGAATAAAAAAGCGGTTGTAATAGAAAATTTTATTATTGATTAATCTATAATCTTAAAAAGCAATTTGGAGATCTTTTTAGATCAATAGTGATTAATAGCAAGCAATTAGATTTTGAAGTGTTTTATATATAATAATAACCAATTCGGATGATTCATATGCTTTATTAATAAGATTATCGATCGACTTCTCAGTATCAGAAATGATCATACCCATAAACACTGTAATGAGGTTGATATCGTTATTTGTTTATTAAATAAGATTCTTAAATATAATAATATTAAATACTCTTTTTGAAAGGATTATTTATAAATAATTCTTGATTTGATTATTATTAGGATTAATATATACAGAGCGATCTTTTACTTTCCTACTCAATATATCAGGGCAAACTGCTTTAAGACCTGGTCTATATATAATATGAAAATTGAAACCAATTAGGAATTCAGTTTATCTAGCTTGTTTTTAATTCAATATCTTTATTGATATGAAGTACTCTAAATTCTTATAATCAGTAATAATCTTGAATAACTTTTGAATTCTATATAGTTCGGATCTTTATTCTTCTAAGGATTTGATAATAACTAGTAATTCCTTATTATAGATTTTATAGTTGTATTTGGTAATACTATATTTTGAGGAGAAGTATATAATTAGGTGTAATCAGCCCTTATTATCATATTAAGAGAGTATTCTGCTTGTAGTCTAATCGGAAGTATCTATCTCGACAATTGTACAGCAATGGTAATCAAATATTGTAAGAACTGAAGTGAAGGCAAAGATATGCTTTAGGTTTTCAAAGATATTCTTTTGATTAGTAATTCAATTTTATATATTCTCTTTTTTCAATAAGCAATTTAAAGATTTCATAATTTTAAAAAAGTTGCGAATAAAGTATTGATAGAAATTAATGAATTCTAAAAAGTATTAAAAGTCTTTTAATTTAGTTAACAACTTTTATTCGAGGATAGTTTTAATCTTATCGAGGTTTATTTCGATATTATTAGAAATAATAATTAGATTAAGATATTTTGTTCTTTTTGTTTCGAATTTGTATTTATTAATATCAATTTGTAATCCAATATCAATAAATCTCTACACAACTTTGCGAACTTATTTTCAATAATTTATAATATTCTCAAAGTAGATTAAGATATTATCTAGATATATTATATAATTCTTATCTAAAAAATCAAAAAGAATATGATTGATATAGTTCTAAAATAAGGCAGGAGTATTGTAAAGGCCGAAAGGTATTATTAGAGATTTGAATAAATCGAAATAAATTGTAAAAGTAGTTTTCTATTTGTGATCTTCCGTGATTTGTAGTTTATTGAATATAGTGATGATATTCAATTTGATATAAACTTTAGTATAGTATAAGGTATTGAGGGTTTCTTTAATTAGTAATAATGGATAACGGTTTTTAATAATAATATTGTTCAGTTCATGGTAGTCCTAGTAAATTCAAATATTCCCCCTAGGCTTTGTAGTTAGAAGAAATGGGATAGTTGATTAAAAGTGGGATTCACGAATAAATCCTTTATTTAGATTATCATCAAGCTATTTGCAAATAACTTAGAGCTTAACTAAGGATATTAGGTGATCTTTGTTATATAGGGGCTCTTTATTTAGTATAATTTCGATCTTGTGATTCTAAGAGTATTGTAATAGGAGCTTGTTGGTGAGGGAGGGTAAGAACCTAATGAATAGATTACGAAGCCAGAATGGTAGTTTATTTTAAATCTCTATTATAAATGGTATAGGTCGGTTAGTCTTTTTCATAAACTTTTTGATATTGCTTTCTATAATATTACAATATAGTTGAATAGGATCATTTATTATTATATAGTATAATTTGCAAGCTCTATCTAATTTATCCTAAATTACTTTTATAATATAAGCTTTCTGATCTTTATAAAATTAAACAAAGCTATTAGCTATAAGGAACTTTATATCATTCATTTTCTATCAGATATTTCATAAGGCGTTAATCGGTTCCTCAAAGGGCTTCTGTAGCAATAGGGGATTCAATGGGGATAAAACGTTTTGGTTTTATAACGGTCTTTTATATATCCTAAAGCTTGCAATAATCCGCACTAAAGCTGGTTTCAGGATCGGCTGGTTTGATATCATCTTGATATAGATCTCTGTTTTTCTATTGATTCGGTAAGTGTAGTAATAGTTTGAATTAGATGGTATTGGATTAGCAGAATTTATATTGTAGAGGTTTCTATCAATATTCTTCTTTACAATTGGAGTCAGAGGATTGTATTCCAAAAATATCGATTAGTCTTAAAATAAGAAGGAGAAAGTCTGGAGATTTTTATCAATAACTTTTTCGATAAAGATATAATATAAGGTTGAGGTAAATTTCTTTGAAGTAGACTTCAAAATAGACTTCCTAATGGGTATATATAATATTGGATTGAGTATTGTGTCTGCTGGGGTCGGTATATCGTTATGATTAGGGATAATAGTTGTAATAGAGTTAATTGGGTAGTAATATCTGAAGCAATATATAAACGTGAATTTAAGAGTCATTGTTGCTTAATTAATAATAGGGTTATAGCGTTGAAGCTATGGAAAACCAAGAATCATAGAGTTTGTATTAAAAAGATTGATAATATAGAATAAACCAATTTCTTTATAATTGTTAATCCATAGATCTAATAATATATATTGAAATAGAATATCAGAAGTCCTTCCATCTGCAAATAATAGGTTGTAGATAATAGGAAGGGAATGTATAGGAATATCAAGCTTGAATATAAGGATTCTATCTATAAACCCATATCCCATAGCTCTACTATCTATTAAGCTAATAAATAGAATGATCACATTAGGCATAAGGAAAATTTCTGTTAAGATTTTAAGAGATTTGTTATTTATTATTTTAAGATATAAAGAATCCCTAGATATAATCAATCTCTTAATCCATAAAAGCAAACTTTCTATAACAAACCTCAATTTGCAACTATAAATCGAGATTAGTCTTTTAATATACTTGGCTAGGGAATTGAATTTCTATTATCATTCAAATGTATAGAGCCTTCAATGAATCCGCTCAGATCTCTATTGCCAGTGGGGACTGAAGAGGTATATTGAAATGATACTGCGACAATCGGGAAACGATTAGCAGACAGGAATGTATTCTGGTAAATAGGGCTATAAGTATTGTGATAAGGTCCGGAATTATAATAATAATTGATAATAGGAAAACAATAGACATTCAGAATATATTGATTTATAGCAAAGGGATAATCAGGGTATTATATAATTCCTGAGTTGATATTATATTTTACATTATTATATTGCTTTTCTTCATAGTTGAATTTGATATAACCAGGTTTTTTTGTAATAAAAATAAAGGCTAAGATCTAGATATTATTCTTTATTATAATATAATAAGGATTGCTGGCCTTAGCAAGCAGTATCCAGTTATATAGAATCTCTAAAGAAATCAGGCATAGGTATTACAATAATAATAATAGACTTCTTTTCATTAGGTTTTTTCTGATTATTGAAATTAATATCTTGATTCTTGTATTGATTATCAAGATGAATCTTCTTCTCTAAATTATTATAAATGCCTTGCCATTAGATTACCCATATATCAATATCAATAGTAGAAGATTTATTAAAGCAATTAATTGAAATATCAATTAATTCTTATAAGACTTTGAGTTTAAAATCAGTAATTTATTATTAATAGTCTTCTTATATTTGATAGCGAGCTGCTTGAATTTGATAATAAAGTTATTAAATAGGGTCTTCTTTATTTTATATTTATTATAATCTATGAAAACTTTATATAAAAGATTTAGAGTTTGGTATTGCTTATTTAATTTATATCAGATATTTATTACAATATATTATTCAGAGAGCCAAAGATTGGAATTATATGTGTTGTCTGTAATTATATCAAAGTGTATCTGATTGTTCGTATAAGTAGGATTAAAAAGTAGGCTAACAAGAAATGTGATTTTCTAAAACTTTGATTTATTTTTATAATTTATGGTTAAATAGTAATTGATTATGCTATAAAAAGTTGTATACTGATCTTAGTGCTTTATAATATTTTATTTATTATTATTAAACTTTTGGGAATAATGAAATACTTATAACAAGATGAAGCTTATGAATTATTATAAATAGTAATCTTCAATATCTTAATTGTATTTTTCAATTCAATAATCTTTAATTGAATATTAATAGCTTAGATCTGAATAATAGTAGTTTGGGCTTGTAATAAGCTTGTGATTGATTCAATTGATTCAAATATAATTTGAACAGTAGTGAAGTGTGTAGTATTTGGATTATTAAATAGATTTATAAAGGAAAAGATATCGATTTCAGCGAAATTGAGAATATAGTTCAAGAAAAGGAATTGTGGAGGTAAGCCAGGTATAAGCACTTCTGGTGTAGATATTTGTTCATCTATTTTTGGCATTTTTTGAAATTCAAAATATTGGTGGTAGGGTATATAATAGATTAATAATGAATATGATCGATATAATCAGGATAAGATGTCAATAAGGCTTTGGAAATAAAATAAGAAATAAATTGTAATAGCTTATTTGAAAATAATATAAACTATCAAGATATAGATAAAGACTTATATTATACTATAAAGATAGAAGAGCTATGGAAAAATGAAGCCCTACTTATAGAAAGTAGGGCGCGCTAGTATGCTGTGTCTGAGGTACAAAGGCAACTACAGATCATGTAGTTGGCGCTGTGACAATATGATTTGCTTATATACGTAATTTATATATATCGATATTAACTACTTTATCTCTTTATAAAGTTAAAATATATAATATTTTGATAATAGTTATAAGATTAACATACAGTTTAGAAAATGATCGACTAGATTCTCTACAAGATCCTTATGTATATCAGCTAACTAAAAGAGTTAAAGGAATAGAAGTAAGTCTATATAAATACTATATTACTAACATTCATTATTAGTATTTAGATTTTCTATGATTTTCTAGTAACCTTATTAGGTTTAAGTTCAATTACCTACAAGTAGTTTGTCGTCATTTCAATCGCTCCCCAAGAATCTACTCTCAAGGCGTTAGTATTACCGACCAAAAGAACCCAGATAATTCTCCGTGAGACTTAACCTAATAATAAAAATTCCAGTGCAGGGTATTTATACCTATCATCTTCTTTCCTTAACCGTTATCACTATTATATCTATTATATCGAATATTCAAATTTGAATCCTCGAAGAGTCAAACCTTCAAGTAATCACATCCATTGCCATTAAATCACAACGATACCTACTCCGTGTCTCATCACTGGTGCGCTTTGTGGTTGAACTCGCCTCGCATCATCCAACCACAACCTCGCTCCACCGGCCCGTATTAATCCATAACAAGTTAACAACACCGTTTCACGCACATCAGAATGCCCCCCTCCTTCTTTGTCCACAAAATCTTCAAGGGTCTTTTCCGTCTCGATAGAGCCCTCCTCCCCCGCCCACCACCTGCATCCCATCTCGCACGTCTTGCAGCTCGCCGATCAAACCCGGCAGATAAGATTCGGGTGTGGTGGTGGAATAAAACACCTATGCAGAGGAATTCTGGGGTGGTTGATATACCTCTCACTTTTGGATTTGTTCTGTTGATCGGAATCCATGCAAAGAACGCGTGGACAAATTTCAGAGGGAGAGATGAGAAATGCGATCAGAGAGCTCATGAGGGTGCAATGGAAAACGAAATGGGGAAGTGAGATGCGAGAATAGATAGGAGCCTAATGTGGAGGGGTTGGGGGAGGGACCATAACACGGAAGAGCACCAGGGGCTCTATGGAGTTGGACTTTGGCATCATGTATACATTCGCAAGATTCATGTGGTGCCTGACATTTTGGTCTATGTGATGCGCTGGATGGGTATGTGCATATTATTGGGCGGGTTGTACGGATATCACGAATGACGGAACTCCTGAGTAATATTCGTTTCAGACTTCTTGATGTCTTGAAGTCCTGAGATGGCTGTAGGATTCAACAGCTAGAAGGGTATGCAGTGGGACAAGATTCTATTGAATTGGGTGGCATTGGAGTTAGTGACTGAACTTCATGTATTATATTGGTTACGGGTCTAGAAGTTTCTCGGGGCCCCCAGGAAAGAACACGCAGATATAGATTAAAGACTACTTTAGAAAATGAAAGTCTGTATGCCTTTAAGTCTGCTCTTCACAAGAAGTTAAGAGTGAAGTTGAAATTTACACTTGCTGATATGAGATTCAATCGGATAATATGAATGAGGATTTGGTGGTCTCATAACATGAATTCCCTTGAAGTTGTCAGAAATGTTTATATTCAAAAACGTAATTGTGTATGGTTTCTCAACCAAATGCAGCTTTTCTTTAAGTTAAGATCATTCATCCACTTGCTCTCCCCACAAAATCATAGACACTTAGAATCCTAATTCCATAAACATAATTCAATCCCTTCTCATCCCTTTTGTCCTTCTTCCCTTCTTCCCTTCTTCCCTTCTTCCTTCTTCCCTTCTTCCCTTCTTCCCTTCTTCCCTTCTTCCCTTCTTCCCTTCTTCCCTCCTTCTCTCCTCGCCTCATTATCTCCGATTGAATTTAATATGAAAAGAAAACATATCATTATCCCTATAGAAAGGCAGTGTTTTTTTCCTTCTCTAAAAGGTACATCACCATTACTGTAAAAGAACAGTGTCTTTTTCCTTCTCCAGAAAGTATAGTACCACCACTATAAAAGGACAGTGTCTTTTTCCTCCTTGCCTCGTTATCTCCGATTGAATTTGAGTATGAAAAGGGGGCATATCACCACCACCATGGAAGAACAGTGTCTTTTTTCTCCTTCAGAAAAGTGCAGCGCAACCACCATGGAAGGAAAGTGTCTTTTTCTTCCTCCAGAAAGTATATCACTACTATCATGGAAGAACAGTGTCTTTTTTCTTCTCCAGGAAAGTACAAGCGCCACCACCATGGAAGGAAATTGTCTTTTTATACAGCGCCATCACTATGGAAAGACAGTATCTTTTTCCTCCTCCAGAAAGTATAACACTATCACTATGGAAGGACAGTGTCTTTTGGTCTTTCGAATTAACAATGACGACAATGGACATCTTGGCTCCAACGGGGAGGCAGATAGCAAGATAGTATCTTGTAGCTCCAACAGAAAGGCAGATAGCAAGATAGTATTTCTCTGCTCCAATAGAAAGACAAATAGCAAGACAATATCTCTTTGTTCCAACAGGGAGGCGACAGCTATTATAGCAAGACAGTATCCTGTAGCTTCAACAGAAAGGCAGATAGCCAGATATTATCTTGTAGCTCCAACAGAGAGAAGGAAGCCCATATCCACATCGCATCTTTCCTCGAACCAAAACGATCTGGAGAAGGCAGGAGAGAAGTTGAATGAAAGTCCAAGACAAGCAGAGCTTAGTGTCTTTTTGTGCCGAAGGACTGTTATGAGTCGGATGAATCAAAAGCTAGAACCCTTATTGAACGATACTGATTTGAATTGTAACCGATTGCTCGAGGTGGGTGGATATGGTCGCAGACTTTCTGCCAACCCGGAAGCTTGGAGGAAAGTGTCTTTTTAAAGGTCTTACAGGAGCGCCATCGGGCCGCTACCATGCCCAAAAAGAACTTGACTGGTCTTACAGAAGTGCCATAGGGCCACTAACATGCCAAATTGAAGGTCTTACAGGGGTGCCATCGGGCCACCTAAAATTCTGCAAGTCAGAATTACATGTCTCGAGAAAAGAGGATGCTGAGAAAACTGACCGCCATGCCGGGTTGTGCTCTTACTTCTCATTCTTACCACTCTTTCCCTCCATACGAGTCGCTGGGCCTATCTCCGATGAGGGATGATCTGGTTCCTTGGGATTTTGGTCCGTCTTTGTCTCCTCGCGAGGAAAAGCTCTTGCGAACTTAACCCCTAGGAGGAAAGACGGCCCAAAATGATGAAATTTCAAAACCAGATTGTTCCTATCCATCGGTGTTAGGGCACGCCAGGCGGCGAGGGGGCGAAAGAAGCGGTAGAATGAGAAGGGGTTCATTGTCGGATATAAATATATTTGTAAATATATGGTCGCTGTGGATAATAATGTATAATCCAAAATCGCTGGTCCGAAGAGGAAGAAAAAAGAAGAGTTTGAGAGGAACTGTCGTTATATACCGCCTGAATTCCCATGGCTCTTTCCTCCCTCACTCGAAGTATTCCTACCTCACAAGTGTGCATCATTCTTTCTTGTCGAAATGAAGACGCCAGCCAAACGAGAAAGGTGCTGATGGCTCCTGCTGGTCCTTGTATGTGAAATTTCTGCATTAATGTATCATTGATATTTCTAACAAACCCGAAAAGGGAAAGATCTCGCAGCCTATCGTACTCTATCTGCATCTCTCGAGATCCTCCTGAATACCTAGTAGACATCAACCCAAAGAAAGTACATAACAAATCATACCTAGCTAGATACTCATTCCCCTTTCCCAAATTAAAGAAAGTACTTCAGACATAAATCAGTCTACCTACCTCCTCTCTCACTATACAATATATCTACTTCTCACAAAGCACCCTCAGCACTGCACATTACATCACAATACACTGAAATCACAGAAATCACCTCTCATTTTTGGAAAAAAAAATTACATCTCATTGATCTATCGTATCAAATATATTTATTTCATTTCTCCTTCCCCTTCCCATCAAATAGTTCCTATAAGACAAACGAAACCCATGCATGCATCGCATCCCCAACATCCAAATGAGAAACCTCCCTAGAGATATATTGCCATTTCAGTCCACCATGAACTTGCCAACATAAAATTTCTCAATGAATAAAGAGTCAATCAGATACCATATTCACCAGGTTCAACATACCAAGTACGCCATTGATCGCCTCGCCTCGCCTTTGGTATGATACAATACCATGTTTTTGTTTTTTCTTCTTCTCCTATCCTCTTCAGTTTCTTGTATTTTTTCTTACTTTCATTCCCACCACAAGTTCTTCATTATATCAACAGTCTATTAGATGTTCTTGTAACTCCAGATTCTCGCTCTCATATCACCCGAACCAGTAGCGAAAGAACCTCCTGAAGGACTTGGTGCCACAGAAATAACAGAGTTCTTATGACCTTGTAACATAAGTTGAGTGTTACCAGTTCTTGGATCCCAGAATTGAACACCTCTATCCTTTGATCCGGAAAGAACCCAAGCTCCATCTGGAGTGAGAGCGACGGAAAGAACAAAGTCCTATCAAATTTTGTTAGCATGAAGATTGAACATAATAAATCATAGCTCACCTTGTGTCCTTCAAATGTACGTAAACATCTTCCACCCTTTGGACCTGTATTTGGGTGACCGCCTCTGGGAGCGACAAGTTCCCACATCTTAATGGTTTTATCCAAACTTCCGGAAACAAGGTCTTTTCCATTTGGTGCGAATGCAACAGAATAAACACTGTCCTTGTGACCATCTGGACCTTCAAGTCTTTCTACCAAGTAACCAGTAGCAGCATCCCAAACGCGAACACTCTTATCAAGTGAACCAGCAGCGACATACTTGGTATCAGGTGAGATGGCGACAGTTGTAACACCATCTTCAATGCTAAGAGTCAAGATGTTTTGACTAGCTTCAATATCCCAAAGACGAACAGTACGATCACCACTTCCGGAAGCAATGGTACGACCATCACGAGCGAAATCCAATGAATAGATATCTTGTTCATGTCCTGAGAAGGTATTTCTAATTGTTCGTGTAGCAATATCCCAAACCTATTTATAGTTAGCACGTGAAATATTTTAAAAGAGGGGAAAACATACCCGGATCAATTTATCCTCTGCACCTGTAGCGAGATATCTTCCATCTGGACTAAAGCAAACACTTCTAATGTAAAGATCTCCCACGGAGTCCACAGAATCATCTTGGAGAACGCAAACTTTGTTTCCACTGACAACATCATAGATTTGAGCGGATCTATTGCAACCAGTTGCGACAAATTTTCCATCGTGACTGAAACGAACACAACAAACCACAGATTCGTGAATGAGGGTATGAACGAGATCAACATCAAGAATCTTTGGAACATCTGGGTTGAAAATCGCGAACCAATCGGCCTCTACTTTCTTAAATTGTGGTGGTAATCGTTCAAGGTCCAATTCTGCCAAAGCGTTTCCCACATTACCGACTGGGTATTGAGGTCCACGAGCGATACCAGCTAATGGGTGAACGACCTGTGGTGATTGTCTAGGATCGTTATTGTATGGCAATTGTTGTGGCATCTGAGGAGTTGCTGGGCCACCTGGACCACGGTTTTGGCGTGGACCTCCTTTACCGGGACCGGGAGAAGCGGTTGATTGAGGAGGTTGAGCACCATATGGACCATTCTGTGGAGGACCTTGTGGAGGATAACCACCTTGGAAAGGACCTTGTTGATTTGGTGGAGGACCTTGAAGGGTTGGTTGTGGTTGAGGCATCGCGTGTGGTGGAAGTGGACCTTGCGCATCTTGTTGTTGTGGCGGAGGAGCCAAACCTGGACCTCCTTGAGCTGCTTGACCAGCCATTATACCTCCAAAAAGATTACTTGGGCCATGTCCGATTGCTGGTGGTGCTTGAGATGGAGCATGTTGTGGAGGACCACCCATGGCAGGTGGACGAGAAGCGCCTCCTCTGGCCTCGAGTTCGTGGCGAAGGCGTTGAATTTCATCGTCATATCTTTTGAATATTAGCGAAATTAACCTTCTCTCGTATGAATCCATAACCCTACTTTTGCTTCAAAGCTAGATGTGTTTGTTCCATTTGATAGACCTTCTCTCGAACCATTTGCATCTCCTGTATTTGTTGTGCAACTATGAAGACATAATATTAGCATCGCGCCGGATATTAGATCATGACCACAGTAAGTCGGAGATTCCAAAGAATTCCTTCCTCATCCTGCCATTCATCATCCTCATCCACCTTCCCACGCAGCTTGATGTGCGACTCACTATTATGTTCGTATTCCCCACTTGCTCGTTGTTGTGTATCGAATTCGGCGCGAATGCCATCCAATAATTCATTCAATCGAGCGGTACCTGGGGCAGGACCCAAACCGCGATGATTGTACATAGACATTGTGGATTAATCGACCTTTGATGTGATTTCGAAAGTGTTTTGGATGATATGCCTTGGGACGGTCAGCAAACTCAAATTGGACGGATTAGGATTCCCGCTTTCTTTGGAGGGAACATCACGATCTCTTTCGGTGCGCTGCGCCAAGGCGAGAAAAGCAGAGATGAGAGAGATGAGAAGATGATGGGGGATAAGGATAGGGAAGAACTTACTTTTGATTGTGCGCAACAGTTTGCTTATAGATTGAAGTTGTGATGGAAGTGTGGAAATGCGCGTTTTGCAACTTTTTTTTATTTACCTAGGTCTTACAATCTGTCGCAACACCACCTATTCCAATGATGCCAAGTGAATACTAAAATTCCAAAGCTATTAATCGCATTCGGCAATTCGAAAATAAATAAAATTGGTTATAGAAGGGACGAATTGATAATGATTGAATTAAGTGAGGTTATTGGTTGATTGATCCAGGGTGATGATGTTCGGATGAGAAAAGTAATATGATGGATGTTGTTGATGTTGAAGTGGGTGAAGGTGTGGGTGGGTGTGGATGTGGATGTGGATTTTACTAATTGAGGTTGGAGGTTGGAGTGAGATGTGAGATGTGAGACGGCTCGATAGATGGGAGTAGTAAGGTTTGTGTGGGAGGGTGATGAATGGATGGATGGATGGATGGATGGATGGATAGATGGATAGATGGTGGTGGTGGTGGTGGTGGTGGTGGTATGTATGGTATGTATGGTAGGTAATATGTATGATATGTACTAAATAGGAAAGAAGTGGAGGTCGAAAAAGAGGTGAATGAATCTTTTCGGTTGGTTCAAACTTCAGATTCTGTAGCCGTAGTAGTGGGAGAGGGTATAGTAAAAAGGGCTAGAAGAGAAGATAGATATTACTAATTAGTAGGTCCACGGGTAGGCAGACATGTAGTCTTTTACTCGTATAGATTAGAACTAAAGAAGGAGATGAAGAAAAAAGGAGGATCAGATCAGATCAAAGCAAGGCAAGCAAGCAGCAAGCAAGCAAGCAAAGCAAACTGGACCTTCTAGTAAAATCCAATCCACACACGTGAGAGTATGAATCACAGACAAAGTGGTGTTATATGTAGTATTTGGGGATTTTTTGATAGAAAAATCAAGTCAATGTCAAAACGGAGAAAGAGACGGCAATGGCAATGGCAATGACTATATTAGTCAGGGCTGAAGGTAAAGAAAGTCAAGCTTTCTCCTCTATCTTTTCTCCTCTAGCTTTTCTCTCTAGTCTCTTCTCTCCCCCTCCTCTCTCTTCTTTTCCCCTCCTCTTCCTCTCTCTTGACACCACCACCACCCGTGCCAATATCGTTTCGATTCATCACGCAAACGAATGAAAACGCTCAGAGCACTTGAAGAGATGGAAAAGGCGCATGTCATGTGATCACAAACACAAACTCACCTAACCCACAGTTGCCACAATTTAAACCTTGTCTCGCATTTGCTGATCCTTGTTTAGTCCGTCATGTAATCCTGGCGAAATGTGAATCCAAGGATTGTGACTAAGGACGCAAGTGGAGACTTTGAAAAAAAGCATGCGCCTTCCGAAATAAGCGAAGAGATACCCAGGTAGGTAGGAGGGTACTTACTGTAGTACTCCGTGGGTAGAATGATTAAAAATAATCCAAGACTGGTTTCTACTCAGTACATACTCTGCAGAAATAACAATGAAGGGGCAGATTACCTAATCGGAGTTCAAAGTCATTCTTCCCATCAATCATTTTAACAAGTACTATACACTGTTCACTGTCCAGGGTACAGAGAAAGTACATCTTGTTAAACACTCGATTCATCATTGAAATTAATATGCCTTTCTTCATTGCCGAATGGTTTATATCGAACGAACCCGAACAACATCTAATACTTACCAATCGATATACTTATTAGATATCCAATTTTTCATCAACCAAAATGTAAAAGCCCTATCAACATCGATAATCCCCAGTTCTGAACAGTCAAGTTCATACGAATTCGTTATGAATAACCTCATGGTGAACCAGTTATTCCTCTGCAGTATCACAGCTGGGCCATATGCAACCAATAACCTTCCTATATCACCAGCAGACGCACCATAAGTACGAACAAAGTAGGCTTCAATTGCTTGCATGTTATTTACTAAAGTACTAGGCAGATTGATTGATTATCTCCCCCCCATATATGCATGGACGGGCTGAGACGGGCATTAGCTTTCACAAGTTGTTCTCAATGAGGCATAAACCATCCTTGAAATCATCAAGACGCCACTGTAGGTACGGGATATGCAGAGAGGAAGATGCTGCCCGTTTCGTCACAAACTTGTACTTTTCATCACGGATAGGCTAGAGATGATGCTAGGTAACATCGTCTACAGCCACCTTCTAGAGAAAATCCATTAAATTGACTTTGAGACTATAACTATACTAAGGAATCGCTGGCACTGTTACTACTGTCGACTCAAATTACCACTTCGTTCTCAAGCTTTTTCAACAAGCGCACACGAATACATCATGGTAAGAAATCGTTCCGCGTAAGCTTTTCAAAGTTTAAACCAAAGGTGATGATTTCGCATGTGGTGCTTATGAGCAAGACCTCATCCACCCTGGATTTAAACGCACGCTTCAGACTATTTTGTACATCAATATCATATTTAGTGCTTCCCGCACTTAGCATATCTTACCCATTCTCGAGCCATTCACTCGGAATTATATCAATCATCGGTAAGAAAAACATGGGTAGAGAGACGAAGGAGATATGTGTGTAACCTTTCGGACGGGATAGTATTTTGCGCCATAAAAGCATTCAGCCCGGATCAATTTCTTAACCGAAAATGCCGGTTACGGGAACGGTGATGAAGGTGGGGAAAGAATGGGTGAGTGGCAACTTTACTCTGTCGAGTGGGTAAGGAATAGGGGTTCGGGATTTGAGTTTTAGATGCCTTGATTTTAAGTGGTACAGAAAAGGAAGGTGTTTCTAGAAGTTTGAAGGAAGAAACAGAATTGTGACAGATCGGCGTAGATTTCTATAACGGACAGAAGGTATTTTTGATATCTATTAAAAGGGCTCTCTTTCTTTGCTTTGGAATAGAACTCTAGGTGGATTTTTATTATTTTCAAGTACCAATGAGTGCCAAATTCGAGATAAATATAATACGTCTGAAAAGTCTAAGTCTTCGGCTGCTCTACATGAAGCTATCCCCAGATGTGAGACAAGGTGGAAAGATTGAAATGTGTGAGAGTAAAAATATGATATCGATGATTGGTAGTGTGGGATCCTTTCCTCTTCATCTAAGATTAGGTACTCAACAAAGAAGTATAGCTATTGTCTCCTAAAGTGACTTACTTGAAATATAGGAACTATTAACCCAATACTCGTAGATATCAAACAACAGCGACGACATAATTTGATACTCCCAATCGATCAGAATAGTCGTACCTACCTCGTCTAGTACCTACTCCAACAACCACAAAATTATCCTTAAAGCCGACCAAGATTCTTCCTTTCATCCCTTCTTGATTTATATCATCCCATCTCATCCCATCTCATAACCAACCACATATCAGAAATCAAAATACAATACATCCATTAATAAATAACTAGATCTACCAAGTAACATACCGACAACCCAACAACCCAGAGATAAGATTAGATCTCATCCATCCATTCCACTAATCTAATACTCTACCCCATACATCCTTCAGGCTTCACTTCATCCACCAAGAAAAATCCCCAACTTTGTCATATCACTCCTGGTCTCCAAAAGCAGGTACAATCAATCGCATACAGATGGAGATAAGCTGCATCAATACTCCGTATATCGATGCACCAATGAGATGGATTTTTGGTAGGAAATATCCGAATGGGTTAGCTCTTAGGTATTATCTAGGTAATATATACTCGTAGATAGGTACAGGTACCTGGTAGATACCTGGTAGAGGTAGGTAGATCTCTCTGAAGTGAGAATGGCTCAATGGGTGAGCTGATTTAAAGGCTTCGGAAACAAAGATGCCGTTCTTGTTCGTATTTTTGGTGGGGGATGGTATGGGAGGCTCGGAGGTTTGGGATGGGTTGGATGGGATGGCTAGGATGATGGGATATGATGGATGGATGGATGGATGGATGGATGGATGGATGGATGGATGGAAAGATCGGAACTTGTGATAATTAACGATAATCACATCATGATGAATCTTTTGCTTGGCTGACTGGTTGACTGGCTGACTGGTTGACTGGCTGACTGGTTGACTGGCTGACTGGCTGACGGCTGGCCCCTTTGTCTAGATTTGAGGAAAAGAACATCCGTCGTACGATCTAGGTATCTACGTACTCAGCAGTAACTTATAAACATCCGTAGTTACCAGCTACAAGGAACGCGGGATCTGGATGAGCTGTTGCAAACTTGATGGTGATAATCTAACCTTGGAAGACAAGACTCGAATGACAATCGCACAACCCACAACCCACAACGAAAGATTCTCGTAAGAGATTCTGGGTTTTATGGAGAGGATTTACTGTTAGAGTGAGAGGGAGACCGTGAGAGAGAGTGTGATGACAAGGTTAAGATTGAGAAAGGGAGCTAATTTTATCAGATCGAATATCAAGAATGTCTTTTGATTCGTGCGGAGTTTGAATTGTTGATGAATGAATATCTAAGTACCTGGTAGATATTTGTAGATAGATAGATACCTTGACTTCTTCATGGGATTTTAGTTGGGGTTTCTTATTTCTTATTTCTTTTCTTTTTTTTAAACCCCCTTATTATCTCGGTAGGGAGAGAGGAGAGAGATCTGATTTAGTTCTAATTGGGATTTCTTAGAAGAAATTCTATTGGTCAATTGTAATAAAATCCTAAATCCTAAAATCCATATTTTCAAATTTCTGGAATAGTCATATCGGATCGGATCGGATCAATTTTATATTTTATATTTTATATTTTATATTTTATATTTTATATTTTATATTTATATTTTATATTTTATATTTTATATTTATATTTATATTTATATTTTATATTTTATATTTTATATTTTATATTTTATATTTATATTTTATCCATCGTATTTCCAGCCTTACCTACTAACTAGCTAAATTCGACATAGAGAAGGAAAGGAAAAGAGGGTCTCCCGATTGGAGAAAAAGTTGAAATATACCTACCCTACTATTAACCATACCTACCTAGTATGGTATATCTATACCTAGTAGATATCACAGTACATACATACATATCCCATCCTCATTTCTCCTCCAAAACTTCCGATTGTCGCGTCAACTTTCAAAATCGATTTAATAAAACATACCGCCACTCTCCTTTTTCTTTCCTTTTCCCTCTTGCTCTAGCTCTTTAATAACTTCCATATCTCGCTGGTGATACATTCACCAAGTCTTTCTTTTACATTTCGATCCTTTCAATCCTGGTGTAATCTACCTACCTAGGTGATTACAAAACAATACCAATTCACTCAACAGAAAGGTACAAGGAAAGGTAAGGAACGGAAAGGAAATATAGAATCCATTCATTTGGCTTCCTTTTTCCCTACATTTTCCACATCTTCGAAGCCCTTCAAGAAGTCGATATACTTCTCCTTCTACTCCAATCGATTAATTGTCCCTCACAAAAAGATCTCTGCATTGCAGACATTCCGAAACCATGGATATCGCATTAGAAGTCACCGACAAATACTTCTTCGATCGTTTCTATTCCGCTCTCTTACCCGCAAAACCTATACTCTTGAATGCCATTGGAGAACAAATTAATGGCACAATACTCGACCCGAAGACGGCTTCAACATGGCAGTATCATCCTTCGAATTCTTTCCTCCAGTTTGAACCGACAGACGCGGCGTATACCAGTCAATGGGATAGAGATAATATTTTCCGACAAGCTTTCTCATTGTTCCTGATTACTTGGTATGTTTATTCACTTCCAATGCGATGCAAGATGTCAAGGTTATAGGCAAATACTAATTTTAATTCAAATATAGGATCGCAGGTGCAGCAATTTACTTTACAATCTCTACTCTCTCGTACCTATTCATCTTCGACAAAACTACCTTTCAACATCCCAAATTCCTCAAAAATCAAATCCGCATGGAAATCTCTCAAGCATGTAACTCGATGCCCTTAATGTCCATTCTCACCACTCCCTTCTTCCTCGCAGAAGTTAGGGGCTATTCAAAACTATACGATCTTACATCGGAAGGACCGGGTATGTGGTACAATTGGTTCCAATTTCCACTTTTCCTCCTCTTCACAGATTGTTTCGTCTATTTCATCCACCGCGGTCTCCATCATCCTTCCGTATACAAGACACTTCATAAACCACATCACAAATGGATTATGCCAACTCCTTACGCTTCAATTGCTTTTCATCCGGTAGATGGCTGGATGCAATCTCTTCCTTACCACGTCTTTCCCTTTATCTTCCCACTTCAGAAATTCGCATACCTCGGTCTTTTCTTCTTCGTACAAGTCTGGACAGTGTTTATTCATGATGGGGAATATGTGGCCAATAGTCCAATTTTGAATGGAGCCGCTTGTCACACGATGCATCATCTTTACTTCAATTATAATTATGGTCAATATACCACACTTTGGGATAGATTGGGAGGTAGTTATAGAAAACCAAATGAGGAACTTTTCAGAAAAGAGAGTAAGATGGGACAAAAGGAGTGGGAGAGACAAGTTGCGGAGATGGAGAAACAGGTTTTGGAAGCGGAAGGAGAGGATGATAGAGTTTATGGTGGTGTGGAAAAGAAGATGAATTAGTTTGAACTTTTGAGGATTGGCAAGGCATGTATATATGTCAAATGGCCTTTTGAGTGGGATGAGATGAGGGAGGGAAAGGAATGAGATGCATTGATTGTATATATTGCATGGTATGACATGAAATGGCATTTTTGATGTAGATTCATGTCGGTTTGAAAATAATGGATGGATGGATGGATGGAAATGAATTACATATGAAGGCGTTCAATTATTATAAAGTATTACAGTAGAAATATTAATGTGGATGGATAGGTGATGGGTGATGGGTGATGGGTGATGAGCCAGATGAAGATTGATGGGAATAAGATGGGAGGGATAGGATATACTAGGTAGACTACTAGGTAGACTACCTATGTTATGTTATGTATCTTTCTTTTCTGGTTACTTTATTTCTTCTCTTGGTTTGTTAGATAGATTATCAGATCGTTAGATCATCGGATCATCGGATTATTGGATTATTGGAGTGTGCTTTATTTTATTTTACTCTCTATTTTATATTATTTTGTTTTGTTTTGTTTTGTTTTACTCTCTACTTTAATTTATTTTTATTTTTATTTTTAATTTGAATATTATTTTTATGATTTGAATTTTATAATATTTGGTTTTATGTGTTTGGTTTTGATTTGTAGTATTTGGTTTTGTAAGGTTTGGTTTTATGTATTTGGTTTTGGTTTGTAATATAAGGTTTGTAATGTGAGGTTTGTAGTGTGAGGTTTGTGATATGAGATTTATTGTGTTTGGTTTTATATGTATGGTTTTATGTGTATGATTGTGTTGGTTCGAGAAGGATACAAAAGACGTAGCACCCACGTATTCGTAGGTCCTAAATGTCTAATTGTATTCTATCTAGAGAGCTAGGTAGCTATGTCGAAAAGTAGTAGGCCTTATATAGGCACTACTAAAAGAGCTAGTCTCTTTCGCATTCGCTTGATCCCTGTGATACAGTAGTTATTATATTAAAGTCATTTCTTTAAAGTGAATACTCTTGTTTGTATATTTATGAGTTGAGGTTTGGTGTGAGGTTTGATGTGAGGTTTGGTTTGTGAATTGGAATTTGAGGTTATATGTAATTTGTTGATTTTTGTATATAATTTATGAGTTAGGGTTTGGTATGAGGTTTGATGTGAGGTTTGTGAGTTGAGATTTGTGAGTTTTTGTTTTATATATTTGGATTTGAGAGATGGGATGGATGGATGAAATGAAATGAGATAAGATGGAGATGGAGATAGAGATGACGGAGATGAAAATTGGATGGAGGGATAGAATGAATAACGAGATGGAGATGGAAATGATGAATGGAAATGATGAATGGAAATGATGAATGGAAATGATGAATGGAAATGATGAATGGAAATGATGAATGGAAATGATGAATGGAAAATGATGAATGGAAATGATGAATGGAAATGATGAATGGAAATGATGAATGGAAATGATGAATGGAAATGGGATGATGGGTAGAGATGGGATAAAGGGATGGATGGAGATAATGTAGGTGAAGATGGGGATAGAGTAATTGAAATGGACACAAAATAAAGATAGAGATAAGATAAAGATAAATGAGTATAGTGATAAATATTTTCTTCAAAAGAGGTTTATTAGTAGTATATTTATATTCTTAGGGAGAGATGGTTTGGTGGTTTGTATGTGTATACGTGTATAAAGAAAGAAAGAAAGAATGAATGGAATAGATGGATGATAGTAGCTTGATATATTGGCTTGATATATCTTTGGATGGATCTTTGGATGGATCTTTTGAATGGATTTGATTATCTAGCTAGGTATTAGATATTAGGTATTAGATATTAGGTATTAGATATTAGGTATTAGATATTAGGTATTAGATATTAGGTATTAGATATTAGGTATTAGATATTAGGTATTAGGTATTAGGTGTTAGGTATTAGATGAAACTTACTTACTTGATTGATTGATTCAGAAGTATTTGGTTATTGGGGTTGGGGAGGAATGGCTGGGGAGGGAGAGGAAAAATAGGGAGAATGAGGAATAGGAGAGGAGGGAGAAAAGGTTTGAAGGAGGGAGAGAGAGTTGAAGAGTTAAGAAAAGAGAAAGAAGGATTGGAAAGGGTGAGTAAGTGAGAATAAAGGAGAAGAGAAAGAATAGAATGAGAGAGGATAGATGAGAAAGAGGGTGGAGAGGAGGGGAGCGAACTAGAATGAGGGAGGATGCTTGAAGTGGGATGCTTAGAAGGTTTGAAGAAGAAAAAAAAGGGAGAATAAGCGAGGATGAGAAAGGAGAGAGAAAAAAGAATAATTGAAAAAGGAAAAATAGGGAAAAAGATAAGATAAAATTAAAAGAAGAAAAAGCGAGAATAACGAGATTAAGGAATAATAGATGAAAGTATAAGAGATAGATAAGAAAGAGAGAGAGAATAAAAACTAAAGAGAAGAAAAGGAGATGAGAGAATGAGAGAGGGAGAGCGATAATAGACGAGAAGGGGAGAGGGGTAGGAATTGTTTTGTATCTTTCTATTCTGATTTATATATATAAATGTATTTTATTCTAGTGCTTTATTTTATTTTGTTTTATGGATTTGGATTTACTTGACTTTGACTTGTCTGATTCTATTTAATGGGTTTGATATTGATATTGATATTATATATAATATTAATATTATTTATATATAAGATTAACTTGAATTTAATGAATCGAATAAGGTAATGAAATAGAATAGAACAAGATAATATAAGATGAATATTGAATGTAGAGTAGAATAATCAGATAGAATAGAAGAGAGGAGATGAGAGGAGATGTGAAATATAAAGTGAAGTAAAGTAATGAGATAGGAAGTAGTAGAATATAATAGAATATATTAAGATAAAGAGTAATAGGGATGAAATAAGATACAAAATATAAAATACAAAGTGAAGTGATAAGATAGAAAGTAATGGAATATATGATGAGATATATGAAATAAAGAACGGTAAGATTTAAATTCAAGATTTAAATTAGATTTAAATTAGATTTAAATTAGATTTCCAAAATTCATAACAGGGTTTTGAGGATTGATTGATTAGATGAAAAGGAGAGTGATGAGGAGGTGAGAAAAGGAGCAAGATGAGGAGGAAAGAGGGAAGGGAAGGGAAGAAACATATAGTATCTATCTAATCACAGAGGAAATGAAATCTATTTTTGGGGAATTGTTTTAGTTGAGAGAAGAGGGGAGGAGGATGATGATTATAGGTTTTCATATACTTACTAGGTATTTATTATGAATCTAATTCTGTTTCCCGAGAGGAGAGATGGGGGGAAAGACGGAGGAAAGATAGAAGAAAGGGAGGAGGTGAGCATTCAGATTGTAAAATAACAAACAAATAAACGAATAAAAGGTGTTTAATAACATTCGTTCTGAAGTTTATGTATTTTATAACATTAGTACATGTATGAGGAAATTAGTTTGATGGAAATATCTCGATTATGTAGATATGTATGGATGAATAGGAGGAGAGAAGGGGGAGGAAAGGGAGTCGATGAGGTTTGTGGGGGTTTGAGGGTTATTGGATGAATGGATGGTTGAAGATCGAGAAGTATCTAGGTGGGTAGGTAGATAGATAGGTAGATTGGTGATTAAATTTGATGAGAGGGACGAGAGGGACGATAACAAAAGCCCTTTGAAGAAAGGAGAATCCATTCATCCCTACAAATTCAAAGAGCAGAATAGAAGATGAAATCTCAAAAGAATAAATCAAGAAAGGCAATTATATATGCCAGTCATTTTCACAGTCTGGTTGCTCAGGGGTTTGAATCTGTGGGTGAGTGGGTAAGTAAAAGATATAAGAGTGAAGTTGATATATATATATATATGTGTGTGTGTGTATTTGTGTACATATGTGTATAAGAGATAAGAACATATTAGTTTCTAGTATCCTATCCTAGCACGTCTAAACTCCAATTCGATGATCTATATCTACAAAGTGCAGCTTTTACCCTTGGCCCTATGTCGATAATGACCCAGAAGTTCTATGACTCTCAATCAATCCTCTGTAGATCTTAAGTAGAACCATAAAATGTACACCCAATCCAAAACAAAACTCCATTTCCAAGCCAGCCAAGAAGGTACCCTGAATAATACCAATTCCATTCCATTCCATCTTATACCCTTCTAGCAGTGAAAACTTGAAATAGTTCTTCTGACTCCAAAGTGCAAACATAAGTGGATAGCAAGCATTGACGCCCTAACTCATAATGTACAGATACTCAGATAATGCGACGATGGGCATGCTGAGCACCATACTAATCTTCCAACCATATGTACAAATAGACTCAGCTAATTATAGACTCTTTCTACCCTTCCCTCCTATTCTCCCTCCCCCAATAATTACTCAACCTCATCCAATTCCTCCTCCTCTATCTCCATCCCCCCATCTCTCTCCCCATCTCCCCATCTCCTCTCTCCAACATCCTCGACATCCTCGACACCCTCCAAATATCCCTCACCTCAACACCCACCAACAAACCCACTCCTAATAGCAACGGAATATCAACCACAGCCGAATTTCTCTGCATAGGTGTTTTCTTCCCCCACCATACTCTCATCCTATTCATTGGATTTGTCAATGATGAACGGGTAGCTAGACGAGCGAGATGAGATGGAGGTGGTGGACGAGGAAGAAGGGCTCGATCGAGACGGATGAGGGTTTTGATTGTTTTGCGGAGGAGGAATGAGGGTGGCATTTCTTCTTTCTTTGAATGAAATGGGTGGGTGAAGATGGATGAATGGATGTGGTGTGTAGATATGTGCGGTGCAGTGTGTGCGTGTGTGGTGTGTGTAATATAAAGTTGAAGTGTTGGTAGTAGTAGATTGTAATTGTATAATGAAATCGATATAATTTGAAGTGGTATTTGATTGTTGGAGGAATCGATGCTGTAGATGTAATAGTAGTGAATCGATGTGGTGTATTATCATTCCGTATTCAATAATAAAGAAGAAGCAGAAGAAAAAGAAGAAGAAGAATATATATATCGAAAGAGGAACCTGCCCCGGAGAATTTTCTTGCTGTGCCGGCACTAAGATTTTAGGGCAAGTACGGAGAACTATTCAATTAAGTTTTGCAGTTTTAGTCTCTGAATTGCTGTATGATTGACCGATAGATTCCGTTTGTGGTGTTTCTCTGCAATTTGCAGATTTTAGATGTTAGAGTAGGTAATGAACGGTGGATGATACTGTAGATGGCGGACGAAAGACGAAAAACAAGCGACAAAAATTCCTCCTTCCTTCGATTCTAAAAATCGAAGTTTATCTGAGAAATTCAGAATTTAGATAAATCCGACAGCATCATCGAGTTGAAAGACAATATAATCCCACCATCTCTTATTTCTAGGTCCTATGACAAGTGCCGGCATACCACCTACATCACCACCATCCCCATCTCCTCCTTCACCCCCCTTTCCTCTTCTCAACAATTTCTCCCTAATATTTTCATCCGCAACAACCCCAATAATTCCTCCTACAGCCAATGCAATAGGAATTCTCTTTCCGAAAGCAAACTTCTCCCCCTTTAATTCTTAGCCCACCATTGATATATTCTCGTTTGAGGTGTAATTGTGGGGGAGGAATCCAGATGGCGGGGTTGAATGACGCGAGATCTCGGTTGGATATGTGGGAGAGAACGACATGGATGTGTATTCAGAGAACGAATTGGATTTTAGCGAGCACACATTTTTACGTCCGTGTGTGTGGATTTTTGACTGGAGTGGAGTGGAGTGTATGTTCGATATGTACTGCTACTGGCACGATTTTCTTTCGGTTGTGAGAATAGGAGAAGTTCTCTTTCGGTGTAGATTCGATATCGAAGAAAGTAAGTAGTTTTCACAATTGAATGATTTATGATTAAGAATTAAGAATTACAAGTTATGTGATTAGAGTTTTGTATGACGAATAAGAAAAGAAAAGAAATCTATTGAGAAATTATTTTTATATCTTTTTTACATTGTACACTACTACTTACTGTACCAACCCACCAAGCGAGAGGTCCATTAATACCTAGTCTGAGTTAGTGCGATACTACCCCACCACCCATATGAATCATTCGAGCTTTGAATCCCAAAAGTTGAAGAGTCATTATTTGACTCAATTTCTTTAAAATCATTCAATTGAAATAATTTCAAATTCTCAAAACATTCACCACAATTCCATTATCTGGAATAAACTCTAAACCTCACAATTACCAGCACATTCATCCCTTTCACCAACTCAATCAACAATGCCATCCCGTTCAGAAATCACTTATTTCGGCGCCGGTCCCGCACTCCTCCCCACCGATGTCCTTGAAACCGCAGCCGCAGCCCTCGTAGATTACAATGGTACTGGTCTTGGTTTAGCAGAGCATTCGCATCGATCTGAACTCGCCGCCAATGTATTGAATACCGCGAAAGCAGATTTGGCAAAATACTTAGAGGTCCCAGACGATTATGAAATCCTCTTCATGCAAGGAGGTGGCAGTGGAGAGTTTTCCGCAACGATATACAATTTAGTTGGAGTCTGGGTTGAGAAGAGAAAACAAAAGATTCTAAAGGGCTTGGGCATTGCGTCGGATAAGGATATTCCAGAAGATGCGCTGGTAAAGGAACTTCAGAAGGCCGTGGATGAGGAGCTTAAAATTGATTATTTGGTTACGGGATCGTGGTCTCTCAAAGCTAGTCAGGAGGCAGCGAGATTGGTAGGCGCGGAACATGTCAATATTGTTGCGGATGGACGAAAGATCAATGATGGGAAATTTGGAAAGATCCCTGAGGAAAAAGATTGGAAACTCTCGAAGAATCCAGCAATGGTATACTATTGCGACAACGAAACGGTCGATGGAGTCGAGTTCCCTGGCTTCCCAAAATCTCTAGAGCCAAATGGAGAAGAAGATGAACCCATCGTAGTAGCCGACATGTCTTCCAATATCCTCTCGCGACGAGTTCCCGTCAAGAATTTCTCTGTCGTCTTTTTCGGTGCACAGAAGAACTTGGGATGCACAGGAGTCACCGTGGTGATCATCAAGAAGAATCTCCTCCCCCCTGTCGTCGCAACACCAGCTCCAACTCTCCTACGCAAACTTGGACTACCAATTGGTCCCATTGTTCTCTCTTACGAAACAATCGCCAAGAACAACAGTCTCTACAACACCTTAAGCATATTCGAGTAAGTCTCTCCATCCCACCTCCCCTTACCCAACATCCCACTAACACCCCAACCAGTGTCTACATCGCCGGACTCGTCCTCCAAAAACTCCTCACCACCTACCCCGACGGCATCGCCGGCCAAGAAGCCCTCTCCAACAAGAAATCCGCCCTCATCTACTCCGCCCTCGACGCCCACCCCTCCATCTACAAAATCGTCCCCGACGTCTCCGTCCGCTCAAGAATGAACATCTGTTTCCGCGTCACCGCATCGGAAAACATCTCCGAAGCCGAAAAGTCATTCTTAGCAGGTGCCACAGAGAGAGGTTTGACGGGTTTGAAAGGTCACAGAAGTGTAGGTGGTATTAGAGCCAGTAATTATAATACTATTACTTTGGAGGGAGCGGAGAAGTTGGCAGCATGGATTCATGAATTTGCGGAGAGGAAGTGAGAATATTTCACAGCTGGGTTGGTGCGAGGTTGTTAGTTGTAGAAACCTGAAATGTTTGATATGAACTGTATTATATTTACAAAAGTTTTTCCATTGATAATGAAATTTCGAGTTCAAAAGTAGTAATACTCGTCCTCTTTCTAGATGATCTGTAGATTAGTGCAGCACACCTGTTCATGCAAACCGGCGATTGAGTGACGGGGCCATATTCTACAGGGAGTTTTCGTCTATGTGTATGATTCAGAGCATGTATTGCATCCCTAACAGCAATGCATCGTATTGAATCACATTATCGCTCATCATCAATAGAGCACCGTTCTTTAAGTATATTTCGTATTCCATTACGCTCGTGGAAGATACCTATGCAGATATGCATTTCTACCCCCTGATCTACTACTCAATGCCCACAACTCATGGCCGGCATCTCATGTATCCATTGATTCCAGGGGAAACTAAGTGGCCAATTCATAAATCAGCTACTAGCAATCTGCAAATTATACCTTCGTCCCCATCTTCCCAGATCCATCCTACCATAAAACTCCATTCGCTGTATTTCCCATGGCTTGCCAAGCAAATCATTGGTAATCCAACCTATCCATGCCAGCCAGATGCAGACCGAAGCAAATTTATTCCAGACAAAGTCATCATAGCCTCCAAAACGCCCATCTCGTACCATACCAACCATGTTCAAGAATTAAAAAAAATATCGTACAAGGAATTAGGTAGCAAGGGAAAACAGGCTCGAAAAGAAATCATGGATGCTAAAAAGCAAAGATATTGTGAATCTACTTTTCCCTAGCTAACAATTTTTTCAATCAAGAATCCAGGTAACTCGGTTTAGGAACAGGTGCTACACCGCTTAGATAACTTGGTCCGGAGAATGACGAGGTCATTTGTCTTTTCGGTGGAGGCCTTGCAGGTGATTCTTCTTCATCACTACTGCATAGATCAATAACTTCCGAGATGGGTCTTTTACCACCTGTTGATGAGTTAAATGGATTAGATCGATTGGATGGTGCTGCCGATAAGGAGTCGCGAGTACTTTGTGCTTGATTCAAAGTGCCGTTTGAGGTTCCATTCCTAGTAATTGGTGTACTGGCTTTTCTTCCACCTGGGGAGACTTCGATCAAGTCATCATCGTCATCAGAGAAATCGCTTGAAGCTACACCGGGTCGTGATGATATGGCATCGGGTCTGTTGTAGAGTTTCCACTGTCCTTCTGGTTCAACTGTAACTTGATCAACGGATCTTGATGTATTTTTTAATATATCCTTTACATATCTTTAAAATCTGTCAGCAAACCTGATACTGCCTATAAAAGGATAATCAACTTACTCATCAACGACTAATGTCTCAAAAGGTGCAGAGTTGTTGCATATTGGACATAGCCAAGTCGGTCCTTGTTCTTGTAATTGAAGATAGGAAGTGGCATCAAAACATTGGTTATGCCTACACGATATTGATCGAATAGGTAAATCAATTCTTAAAGTTGACAATGGACACTTCAATGATAGAACTGAAGCAGTGGCCACAATGTCCGCATCTCGTGACTTATTGATCACTTTTGTAAAATTAGGTTCCAGAACACAAATTTTGAGGGAAGGGCATCTTACTCTCGTTGATCACAGATTCCTTCGTAATTTTCTTGCCAGCCTGTAATCGTTTGACCAAGTCTGGGACAGGAATTAACTTGACCACATATAAAACCAAATAGAATTTCTGAAATTTTTGTTAGCACTGCAATTCCGCGGAACAAAAGTTAATAAACACATTGTAAATCCTGGAGAAAAACATGGTAGGATTGCATGGTGTTTATTCACCTCTGATGCTACGAAAGCTGTATTGAGACCTGCCTTTGTAGTCAACGCATAGGTCATCTCGACGGTGTTTTGATATCCAAGAACCTTCAACCTCAGTTCCTTGGTAATATCCACCGGTCGAGTTGATCCAGGCTTGTTTTTCAATCCTCTCAAGTTTGCCTTTACGTCTCCTCCATTCACTTTGACCTCTGATTGATGAGGGAAAGCAATATCTTGTCTCCCATTGCCTTCGCTCGCACAGAATATCATTACCCTCAACGTGGGATCGTTTTGAACTTTTGACAAGATCGGATGGCTCTGAGCTTTGACTGGTATGTTAACGGTATGGCGATGTTGATTCATTGCTATTTAATCATTATTAGCATGCTTTAAATAAAACACAGGAAAGGGAAGTATCTACCATCACACAATTTGACCTCTCCAATTTGCTCGACGATATCGTAAAATGGACTTGGTTTGAATTCAAGCTCTATGGATAATTAGATCGAGCGCATAATCCTGACATCGCGGGCTCATATACTCATTCCATAACCCATCGGCTTGTATGGCTGCATAGCTGCTCTAGGTGCAGAATAATTTGTTGCGCCGTTGGACATCGAATTGGCAGCTGGAGAAGCTGATCCTTGATATGGACGTGAGTGCACTCCAGCAGCTACAATCTCTGGATGATCTATAATACGCCCTAGCCGATTGAATTTGATTTGGTCTGGCGTATTCGCATAGAGTCTGATTCCTATAGCGAAAGAAAGGAATTGTCAGCTTTGTCCTCTCTTCTTACCAGCTGTTGTAGAATCTTGCGCCGGTAGACTGTAGTATGAGACTACACAGTGCGGCAATTCGCGATGCGATTATCAATTCTTCAAGATGCAAACGACTTACTATCAACAATTCTCGTCTGTAATTCTGCCTTGACACCATTTACTTTCATATCCTCAGCTAAACATATGTTCTTCAGTGTTTGGTTGAGCATGCCACCATTTTTCACCTTTCGTACATATGGTTCTGGGTCGAGGAAACTACCACCCCCCATCGAGGCCATTTCCTATCCTTGGATGGTGCTGAACAAGCTAAACAATTAGTTTTTGAGGAGTGTGGAAAGTCTTGGAGATGGTGAACATATGTTAAAATGGTAAAGAGTGAGATATCGATTTTCCTTACGGTATTGACGACGGCAACAAATTGATCTTTGTTTTGTTCTTCCAAATACTCCTTTGCTCTTTCGCCTTTCTTGTCGTGGAATAAATTGTGAAATTCAATGTTCAACTCCGAGTCGTAATGGAAGGAGATCACGAAACTGACTTAGGCAGGCGGTAAATGATGGTTACCTGGCAGAATAAATTTATTGGGTTTAGATTTTGCCGCTAAGATAAAAGATTAATTGAGTGAGGGAATGGAAATCTATCAAAATCATTCATTGCGCTACTTGGAGAAGAAGTTTACATCGATTTTTCTACAATCTACCATAACATTCAACAATACGCTACAATATCCTACAGTTTATTCTTGTATCATACCCAAACACAACAATGGCTAAGGGTGCGCGCTCAAGTTCTATCAAGGCAAACAATTCCGCCTTAAAAGCCAAAGTCTTTGGTCCGGTCGAGAGTGCACGAGCAAAGAGATTGAATGCGAAACTTATGGAATTGATTTCGCAACCAAAGCCATCAGCGAAGACAGAAGATGTGAGCATGGAAGCAAAAGAGGGAAAGGGCGAAGAGGGTATGGAATAAACATTTCTTTTACAGGATTTGTTCTCTAATATTTTATTTAGCATCTGCAAAAGACACCTCGAAAGCCACCGCCGCATCTCAAGAGAAGCCATCCGAAGGTATTTGAAGACTTCACAATCTAGCGCCTACTCGAATCTTTGACTGACATATGAAACTGCAGAAATGGAGGTAGATGCCATCAGCAAGGTTGGCTCCAAGTCAAAGAACCGCATTTCGAAGAGAAGAGTTAGCAGTCGCAAATCCCAGATGACTTTCACTACATACAAAAACGGAAAGAAAGTAGGAGGAGGTAGAAAGCAAAAGATCTATTGAGGACCTCAGCACTGAGAGGTTTAAAGTCGAAAATCATCAATTATAATATATAGGCGCATCTGGTTTTGGGGGGCATGGAGTTCATGGTGAGGGTTTTGTAACGCCTTCGGGCAGATAAAATTGAGGAGTAGTTCAAAGGACTTCGAAATGTTAGATTATACCAAGAATGTGAAAGGTTCAACCTTTCCGCCGTCTCCAGTATACCAAAGACCCTTCCCCTCACACATGCATTGCACAAAAAATATCTGATTTATCCATGTCCACTGATAAGGATTTCTTATCCAAGACGCCAAAACGCGTTCGTCAACCTGACACCTAGCTTCTCTCAATACGAACTTCTTAAATTATTCTCTTACATAAATACAAATGGCAGAGAATAGTTTGAACGACATAGTTGTCTTATTCTTCAGCTAACATATCATTGATTCCACACAAGCAATCAATGGGTCAGGACTAAAAGGCACAAGATGGCCTCAAGAATACGAAACTCTTTGCTCGTGGTAGCAAATGTTCTCATTCCAATTGCTATATTGCTATTTGCTAGTGGTTTCTTTCCTTACAAGCCCTTTCTATCTGGACTGGCACAGTATGAGTCTCTGGAATATGGTGCTCCCCCGGAAGCTCCATTCGATAAGGTCATCTTCATGGTTGTTGATGCGCTGAGAAGGTAGAAGCTTTGCAGCAAAGTTTGGCATGAAAGCTAACCTTGACAGCGACTTTGTATTTTCAAATACTTCAGGATTCCAATTTACTCAAAGGTTGATTGCATATCTGCAAGCTCTTACAAACCAAACTAACTCTTTCTGTAGTCTCATTCGAATGGCGCAGCTCTTCCATTCACAGCTCATGCGACGTCTCCTACCATTACTATGCCAAGAATAAAAGCCATAACAACGGGTTCTATACCTTCATTTCTCGACGTGATTCTGAATTTTGCTGAATCCGATACATCCTCTTCTCTGGCGACTCAAGATACATGGCTAGCACAAATGAAAGCAAAAGGAGGAGGAAAGATGATCATGTATGGAGACGATACTTGGTTGAAGCTATTCCCGGAAACTTTTGACAGAGCAGATGGAACTTCAAGCTTCTTTGTTTCGGTCAGTCATCCAGTGGCTGAGACTGTACATAGAATGAATGTAGCTGAATATAAATTTCTGTTAGGATTTCACTGAGTGGACAATAATGTGACCAGGCATGTTCCGGAGGAGTTGATGAAGGATGATTGGAATACTATGGTTCTCCACTACCTTGGACTAGATCATATTGGTCATAAAGCAGGTCCACGGAGGTGAGATTTTCTATTGTGAGATTTTCTACACGGGAGACTAATCCCTTGACTAGCCCGAATATGATTCCCAAACAGCAAGAGATGGATGGTATTGTCCGATTAATCTATGAGAATATGGAAACTCAAGATTACCTGAGCTCAACCCTTTTGGTGTTGTGTGGTGATCACGGAATGAATGATGCTGGTAATCATGGTGGATCTGCTCCAGGAGAAACCTCCCCAGCTCTTGTCTTCATGTCGCCAAAATTTAAGGACCTTAGGCATGAGCGTCAGCGGCTCGAGGTACCTGCTCCATTTGAAGAGGAATTCCAGTATTATAAAACTGTTGAACAATCTGATATTGCTCCTACACTTGGAGCTCTGCTTGGATTTCCTGCACCAAAAAATAATTTAGGAGCATTCATTGATGACTTCTTACTATTCTGGCCTGAAAGTATGTTTGTCTATTCTCAGTCAAGCCCGTTCGCTAATTTTCAACAGGAAACGACCGTGTTCAAATTTTGTTGAGAAATGCTAGACAGATTCTCAGCGTTGTCACTGCAACATTTCCATCATTTGAAAACGATGGGCCTTCCGAGAACTGCCACCAACTATCAAGTAGTGTCGATGACTTGGCATGCCAATGGAGAAGCATTACCCAAGGCCTAGTTGGTCTTCAAGCTAACGAGCAAGATCACGCTGTTTGGGTCGCAGCCGTCACAAAAGTAGGTCTTACTTAATGACCATGTTCAATATCTAACAGAATCTTAGTGGTTGAAGGAGGCCCAAGAGCTGATGAGTGGCACTGCTAGTAATTACGATGTCAAAAAGTTAATTACTGGTCAAGTTATTGCTGCTCTGGCTTCGGTTATGGCAGGAGTTGCGGCAGGGCCATTCATTATGAACAATCTTAAAGCTAGCATTCCATTTATAGCTACCTGCTTGTCCTACGGTATCATGATGTTTGCTAGTAGTTATGTGGAAGAGGAACAGCATTTCTGGTATTGGACGACTACAGGGTGGTTGTTTCTCTTATCGATCAAGAAGTATGATTCTCTTAATCTTGCCCCTCGATTCAAAATTAATGAAATACTAGTATACGTCGCCAATCTCGTGGACTTTGGCTATTGAACATCAGCTCCATAATGATTCTCGTCGCCACCAGAATTGCTAGACGCTGGAATCAAACAGGCCAGAAATTCGCTGGCGATCCTGATATTGCTCGAACATTTTTCTCTCAACATCGATTGACGCTATGGACACTTGTAGGCGCTACATATCTTTGGAATCTTCAATCACTCGCTAGTAAAGGATTTCCTCGTTTCCCACAAATTCTTGCTGGTGTTATTTCAACACTTTTGGCGACCGCAGCAATTACATTCAAACTTGCATTTACAAATGAAGATTCACCTGAACTTCTTGCAGGCATAGCAAAGACTATGGCAGACAATGATACTGGTATTCCACTTGTTCTCCGGGCAAGACTGGTCTTTATTGGGATTGCATCTTGCCTAGCATACACCGTACTATCTAGTTTTAGCCCATCAAGTAAACGACAGAATTGTAAGTTCCTTTTCTTCACTGCCACTGCAAAGTGCTCTCGTAACTAACCAAACTCAAGTTCCCATGCGCACGATTCACGACCTCATAGTCCTGCTTCTGATTACTCAAACTCGCGCAACCAACATCCCACTGATTCTAGTCTTTGAACTTCAATACTCACTCCTCTCAACCCTTGATCTCTCCCTCATAGAGATCACAACTACCACCCTCCTCCTACAACAAACTTCCTTCTTTGCTCTCGGAAACTCAAACGCGATTTCATCAATCGATCTCTCGTCTGCCTACAACGGTGTTGATTCCTACAACGTCTTCGCAGTCGGCGTCTTGGTTTTCATCTCTAATTGGGCTGGTCCTCTTTACTTCACATCAGCTGGTAATCTCCTACTCTTGAAGTTATGGAAAAAGGACGGAGTGAAGCGAAAGAACGTTTGGAGTAATCATATAACCCTATTAACGATATTCATAGCGAGTAGCTTGACGGCGACGATGATAGCCTGTACGGTATTGAGAACGCATCTGTTTATTTGGACAGTTTTTAGTCCCAAATTTTTGTATACCATGGCTTGGAGTGCGGGGATGCATTTGGGAGGAAATGTGTTAGTTGGTGGAGGATTGTGGTCTTTGGGGAGGATGCTGAGTTAAGGGAAGGTGGTAGAATTGTAAGAATAGTGTTGTAGAAGAGGAAAGTGGAGAAAATTCCTACTCTTTAGGGATAGGCGGGGAAGAACGTTGAAGACAACTGTCAAAATAGAAGCAAGCCAACTTTTCGTCAAAATCTAATAAATCGGCAGTAGAGCTTTGAAGTGTTTGGAATTTCTCTGATACTTGACATCAGTTATTGACATTATGACATATATCTCATAAGAATCTTAAAATTCTCAACGTGAATCAAAATTGACTCGCTTGTATTATTGCTCGATAGGGGTGTCAAATTCACCAATTATTCCTAGAATTAGATCAAACCAGCAAACAAATCTTCGATAGCGTCCCCACCCTTCTTTTTCCTCTTCTTCTTCGGAGGCTTCGCCGGCGTCGAATCTGAGGAAGTTAGTTTGGAAGTCTTCGCCTCCACTACTTCACCATCCTGTTTCCTCTTCTTTGGTTTTGCTTTCTGAATATCAGTGTCGTCTCCCTCTTTTCTTTCCACTTTTTGGCTATCTTCCATTTCTGAGACTGGAATATCTCTCACGATCTTCTCCCCCATATCCTCTCCTATCTCTGCCTCATTCAATTGTGGCGTCTCCTTCACAACTCCTGCTTGTTCGGCAATTTCCTCTGCAGTGAAAACTCTCAATGCACCGAGAACTTTATAGAATCGCGCCAAACATCCCATTAACATCAATCCTAAAGTAGCATATTGATTATTGGCTACTAATTGACTAAATGCCCTATTCCTCACCCTCATTAGTAATTTTCCCGCAAAAATCCTTTACTATCTCTACTTCTCCAATCCAACCACGAACAAAAAAACTTACAGATAACATACAGGTACCACATCCTCTTGAATAAATCTAACCAGACTCTGTAATTCCCTCTCTTCCCTCTCTTTTCGTTCCCGAGCTTTCCCTTTCACCTTTCCACGTGATGATTCCATCACATGTTCTGGGATCATAGATAGGAGGCGAGATAATTGGCGGCGGAGAATTCCAAAGGATATGTACCATTTTGAGAGACGGTGTTGGTTTTTATTGCGGTGGTGTGTGAGATGAAGGAGGTGAGTGAGTGAGAGAAGGGATGCATGGTGTGGGTTTGGGGTTAATATGTTCATTTTCGCGGGGGATTTAAAAAGGAATTGTGGTTCAGTGATTTGTCTCTGAGTTTGAGGATTTTCTTATTTTAGGAGACTCAACTTGTGTGGGAGCATCATCGTTTTGCGTGGTATGAATTTTGGTAATTCATCATGACGGAGGAAAAAGATATAGAAGGCAAGGCTTTAAAATTGTCAGCCTTGCAGGAAGGCTTGTGCACGGACTATACGTCGAGAACAAGTATGCAGACCAGAGCTCCATCGACAGCCTTGACACATGCGATATGCGAAGTCTAGAACCTCGAATAATGATATGAACAAGACTATCGATTCCATGAACTCCCAATACATGTTAATTCATAATTTATGAATAACCAGATATAATACGAATTCCAAACATTGTCTAACGCCAAAATGGCAGTTACAATTCCCCTCTCCACTACAACATGCTTGACCTCCTTAGAAGCATTCAAATATCCGCTTCCCCAGATTCGCCAATTCCATCGCGATCTCACTACGGAGCTTGACGAGAAAAATGCACGTCTGCGAACACTGGTCGGGGGTAGTTATAGACAACTACTTGGAACCGCGGAGCAAATCTTACAGATGCGCCAGGATATTAGCGGAGTAGAGGAAAAGTTAGGAAAAGTAGGGGAAGGATGTGGGAGAAACGTATTGGTTGGAATGGTTGGCGGATTGGGAAAGTTACAGAGCGAAACGAAGAATGGGAAGAAGGGCGAGGAGATGCGGGTTGTGGCTAAGATGAAGGTATTGGGAATGTGTGGGATTGTAGTTGGGAAGCTCCTGAGGAGACCAGAAAGAATAGATGGGGATGGTGGGAGAGGGAAGGATTTAGTTATTGCTGCGAAGGTATTAGTTCTAAGTCGGTTGTTGGCGAAGAGTTTGGAGAATACGGGAGATAAGCAATTCGTCGAAGAAGCGAAAAAGAAGAGGTCGGTTTTGACGAAGCGATTGTTACGTGCAGTTGAAAAGACATTGGTTTCCATGAAGGTTGCTGAAGATAGAGATGATCTGGTACAGGCACTTTGCGCATATAGTTTAGCTACTAGCTCTGGCGCGAAAGACGTTTTGCGACATTTCTTAGATGTTCGTGGTGAGGCAATGGCTTTAGCGTTCGACGACGAAGAGGAGAACAAACAAACCTCAGGTGTTCTACGAGCTTTGGAAATATATACGAGAACTCTACTAGATGTACAAGCTTTAGTACCAAGGAGGCTGAGTGAAGCCTTAGCTGCACTGAAGACGAAACCTTTACTGAAAGATGACAGTATTCGAGAGTTGGAGGGATTGAGGTTAGACGTGTGTGAACGGTGGTTTGGTGATGAAATTCTTTACTTCACACCTTATGTTCGGCATGATGATTTGGAAGGATCGTTGGCAGTTGAAACACTAAAAGGTTGGGCGAAGAAAGCGTCAGAAGTGTTACTGGAAGGCTTTTCGAAGACTCTTCAAGGGGGCTTGGACTTCAAAGTGGTTGTTGAACTACGAACGAAGATACTGGAGGTGTGGATTAGGGATGGAGGCAAAGCAAAAGGATTCGATCCCTCTATACTTCTAGATGGCTTGCGAGACGTTATTAACAAACGACTCGTAGAGTTATTGGAAACTCGAGTTGGTAAACTCCATCTAGTGGGGACGGAGATAGAGTCCACATTGGCAACATGGCAAGAAGGAATCACTGATCTACATCCAAGTCTTTGGGATGAAGATATGATGGCAACCGAGCTCAGCAATGGTGGTAATATTTTCAAACAAGACATACTTGCCCGCACGTTCGGACGCAACGATGCCGTTTTAAGAGTCGTCAACAGTTTTCACACTTGGAGACATCTTATTGAGGAAATTGGTACTTACATTGATCAACTGAAAAAACAAAGATGGGATGATGATTTGGAAGATATGGAAGATGATGAGAGTCTCGAATCACGACAAAACCTTCTTAGCAAGGAAGATCCACAGATGCTACAAGATCATCTCAATTCGAGCTTAGAAAAGTCGTTCCAGGAATTACACACCAAGATCACATCACTCGTGGACCAGCATAAAGATAACAAATCTATTGGAAAAATATCGGTATACATCCTCCGCATTCTACGAGATATCAGAGCAGAGTTGCCCAGTATTCCTACACTGCAAGAATTTGGAATATCACTTGTCCCATCACTTCACGAAAATCTCGCAGGCATGGTCTCAGAAAATTCCGTCTTAACTCTTGCAAGATCTCTTAAGAAAAAGAAGGTTGCAGGTAGAGCATTGTGGGAAGGCACACCGGAACTTCCTGTCCAGCCCTCCCCAGCTACATTCAAATTTCTGAGAGGTTTATCGACTGCTATGGCTGATGCTGGGGCAGATATATGGAGTCCTATTGCTGTCAAAGTGTTGAAAGTGCATCTGGATTCCCAAGTTGGAGACCAATGGAGTATAGCTCTGAAAGAAAAAGAGGAAGTTGCTAGTGATGAAACGACCGAATCTCTTACCGAAGTACCAGGAGCAGATGTCGAGGAAAAAGAAGGCGATGCTCCTGCTCCTGCTCCTGTGGTAGAAGTAGAAGTAGATGAAGAAAAACAGAAGGATTTGCTAAAGCAATCATTATTTGATATCTTTGTCTTGCAGCAAGCTTTAGCATCACAAGCGGATGACGAGGAAAACAAACTTACGAAATTAGCGGATGAGGTGGAGGCAAAGCTAAACTTTGAGGGGAGAGAAAAGAAACGTGTGGTTAATGGCGCGGTAGAGTATTGGAAGAGGTGCAGTCTTTTGTTTGGACTTTTAGCGTAGATTTTAGATGGATAGATGAGAAGACACTTATAATGAATGTTACGAATGGCTTACCTTTGGGCATTTATCCTTGTGAGTTCAAAAACTGAGGCGTCGGGCTCGTAAAAGCCGATTCTGTATATGAGCATAATTTGACGATTGTGAAGAATGTAGCTAGCTACATAGGCGCGTTCCATCTTTTCTGCTGCCGTTTACTTTTTACGATCTTTGTTTGCTCGATCGACTTGTTTGGTGCTGTACTCGTTATCACTGCTGGCGCGGCTCCATCGACAATAGAATTGTGAACCGATGGTTCTTCAGGCTCTGAGTGACGACTCCCCTATGTTCACTATTTGGTTTACAATTATCACCCTGCATTGACTCTCCTATGTTCACTACTTGATTTGCAATTATCACCCTGCATTATTAAAGTGATATCGGCTACGACCTAAGGGCAAAAAGTGCTTTTTGGTTTATTGGCGGATTTATGGCTTGACGGAAATGTAGGTAGGAGATTATACAGTACTCTGTTTACTGAGTGTGTATCGCAGGAATTTGGTATAAAATAAGTAAATCGTGTCATATGTTTAGAGATTATTGTTGTACTTTACTTTCGCTGTGCGAATGTGAATATTCCTCACACTGTAGATGATTGGAAGTTGAATGCGGTGTTCGCGAGATAGAAGATCTCTGGGAATAGGATTGTATTGTTTCTTGTTGTTGGGAAAGGTTGTTAGGGTTTGGTATCTCTTCTTTATTCTGTTCGCAAGATTTTTGCTGTTAGTATAACTTATCATGATACCATACTATCTTCTAAAGCCTTCTTAAGTGCTCCCTCGAAAAATCAATAAGACTCCTGGAAGACTATCTCCGAGCTAGAGTCTCTTTACTAGGTATCTAACTTTTTGAAAGGATGACACAAACTGTTTATATACCCAATTTCTCCATTCTACGTACCTGTAATGACTTAAGAACTAAGAAAGAGCGCTGTAGGTAAGGAATCCAGAGATACAAATCATCTATACTAATAATCGTAAAATATACGCATAGCGAGGGGATTTCCGAAGGTACGTTTTGCAAATGAATTGGATGTTTAGATTGCAGACATGTGATCAGAAGAAGACAATCACCAAGTATTGAGTCTTGATAGTGAAGGATACATATTGCATGAGGTTTGCATATCTGCATATCTGCATATCTGATGCAGATGTATGGTTGCAATAAGAATAATATGTATACCGATGGTTCGGCTCGTCACTGGTTTTGGTGGGGATCACAGTAAGCTTGTTGTTGGTAATATTTGGATTGTTCCCGTGTGTAAACCAATAGATCAGCGGTAATTGCAAATTTGGAGAAGAGACGAATGTAAGTTCTTCGCTGTACTTCGTACAAACGGAACATTCTCTCAAATACTGGCAAATCATGTTGTAGGAAACGGATGCTATGTTATGCTACGCTATGCATGTCGTCTACCTTGTTTCCCACCGGGTTTACGGCACTAGCAGTAACTTGTCAAGTCGATGACGACAAAAGTTTGAAGATCAAGAATTGACTTTCTGCCTTGCATTCAACGAAATCAGTAGCCTAATCTGTGCCGCAGGGTAAGTTCACTTGAAGTATGCCCCATTATGGTGAGCGATCAGATGGTGAAGGATTTGCAAGTATGGCACTATGCGGTGGGAGAAGTAGAAAACGGCAATAAGCCTAAGCCTCACTCTGACATGCACACACACATCATGATGTAAGTGGGGTGGTAGGGCATATGGAATGTACTAAGACTCGACAATGGAAGGTGATCAAAGATGGAGGAGGCGCAGACGCAGACAGGAGGACGAGGGAAACGCGCTCGAGACGAGCAAGTCATTTTGTGACCCACATTGACATACAGCAGCTCAAATGCTGGGTACTCGTATCCACATTGAGCCGCTTCAGGTTCTACGCAACGCTACGATCGAAGGATTCCCCACCAGTAAACCACGTTTCTTGGCTTATGAGCTTCTCCTAGTTCTTACCCGGAAATAGGGCGTGGAAGGTGCCAGATCGAGACACAGAGACAAGAGGAACAGAGACAGATATCTTTGAATGTTCAAGGGACATTGTTGGGGCCAAGAAGGAAACAATCTCGGTGCTGAAAATACAAAAGCGGTATAGTCCCGGAAAGGGGGTCGAGTCATCTCACCGGAGTACTGTATCGAATCTTGAACGAATTCAAATCACATGATTTTGCTTACGAAAATAGATTAACCCTTGCAGGACCTGGTTGCCGCCTCGCTCCTCATTCATCCAAACACGAACCACTGCGAGCAATGGGAGGACAAGAATAAACGTGTCAATCTTACCGACATTCAT